ATATGTTTTCTAGCTCATTGCTTCACCCAGTTTCCCCAAATACATTCTATTCTGACACAGGAAGCGTCTTTGTGACTGATATTAATTGAGTGGAAATGTAGATTTGCTTAAATTGTACCCATTTAAGTTGGTTTTGGAGCTTGGGTAAAAGTCCCAATTCTTCATGATGGGTGGATTAGGCAGACTATTGTCGTTGTGAAGGTTGATCATGTATTTGACATTCACTTATTAAACTTTTATTGAACATTTCTTGGACAGGAGGAATAAAGAAGTGTTCCTACCTTAGAATAAACCTCAGAGGAGCAAAGAAACAAATAAGTCTCAAAGTAGCAACACGGGTGGACAAGGTTATCAAGTAAAAAGAGTTCTGGGATTTATATTCAATGGAAGAGAGAACAAAAATAAGGAAATATTGTTAAATCTGTAAAAACCTTGGTTTGACCACATTTGTCCTGTATTCAGTTCTGGTCACCACACTGCAAAAAAGGAAATTGTGTCTTTGCAGAGATTACAGCATAGAATTATCAAGATATTACCAGGGCTGAAAGGATACACATATCAGGAAAGACTGGACAGATATTTCCCCCCCTGTGGACGAGACAATTGGGAGGGGTTCCCATAGACATGTTGTAAAATCATAAAAGGTGTAATTTGAAGTGAACACAGTGTGTTTTCACTTGATGAATCTATAACAAGGTAGCGGAAATGAGATGTACACCATCAGATGTAAAGGAGAATGAAGCAAGAACTTCTTAACACAGAGAGCAGCTAGAATGTGGAACTCACTGAACAGATACTATGCTTGAAGCAGAAATCGTAATATGGTAATCCTTGCAACTGGTGTACAACAACAACAACAACAAGATTCCATTTATAAAGCGCCTTTCACGTCGGGAGGACGTCCCAAGGCGCTGCACAGTTGGGTCATGACCCGAGCAGGGGGGAAATGGTCAGGGTGAGGGGAGGGAAGGGAGGGAGCGAGGAGGGGGCAAATGGTCAGGGTGAGGGGAGGGAGCGAGGAGGGGGAAGAGAGTCGAGAGGGGAGCTGAAGGCACGGTCAAAGAGAAAGGTTTTGAGACCGGCCTTGAAGGAGGAAAGGGAGGAAGCGGCGAAGGCACTGGGGGATGGAGTTCCAGAGCCTCGGGGCTGAGAGGCTGAAGGCCCGACCACCGATGGTAGGGCGGTTGGGGCGGGGGACGTGGAGCAGACCGGAGCCAGAGGAACGGAGGGTACGGGCAGGTAGGTAGGGGGATAGTAGGTTGGAGAGGTAGGAGGGAGCAAGGCCGTGAATGGCCTTGTAGGTGAGGATGAGGATCTTGAAATCAATCCTCTGGGGGATGGGGAGCCAGTGGAGGCGAGCGAGGGTGGGAGTGATGTGGTCCCGAAGTCTGGTGCGGGACAGTACACGAGCTGCAGAGTTCTGAATGACCTGCAGCTTGTGGAGGGAGGTGGCGGGAAGGCCGGCGAGGAGAGAGTTCCCATAGTCCAGCCTTGAGGTGACAAAGGCGTGAACCAGGGTTTCAGCAGCGTGAGGGGTGAGGTAGTGCCGTAGTCTGGCGATGTTCCGGAGGTGATGGAAGGCGGTGCCAGTTGTGGTGCGGATGTGAGGGAGAAAGGACAGCTCAGGGTCGAACAAAACGCCGAGGTTCCTGACTGGCTTTGAGAGGTGGAGAGTGCAGCCTTGGATGCTGATGGTGTCAGCGCCTGAGGTGCGGAGGCGCTGACGTGAGCCAATCAGGAGGGCCTCGGTTTTTCGCACGTTGAGCTGAAGAAAGTTGTCTCTCGTCCAGGACTCGATGTCGGACAGGCAGCTGTCAGGACATCGGTGGTCGTGGAGTTGAGAGTAGAGGAGGAAAGGTAGAGTTGGGTGTCATCCGCATACATGTGGAAGTTAACTCCATGTCTGCGGATGATGTCACCGAGGGGGAGCATATAGAGGGTGAAGAGGAGGGGACCGAGGACAGAGCCCTGAGGGACACCACATGAGACAGTACGGGGGGTGGAGGAGAAGCCATTCGTCGAGACAAAGTGAAGACGGTGAGAAAGGTACGACCTAAACCATTCAAGGACAGTGCCTTGAAGGTTGAGGTGGGAGGACAAGCGGTGGAGTAGGATAGCGTGGTCGACCGTATCGAATGCTGCCGATAGGTCGAGGAGGACGAGGAGACAGAGGGAGCCCTGGTCACAGATGGTCAGGATATCATTGGTGACCTTGACCAGGGCAGTTTCTGTGCTATGGGCAGCACGGAAACCTGACTGAAGGGGTTCGAAAAGAGAATGGGTGGAAAGGAAAGAGCGCAGTTGGGAGGCGACAACTCTTTCCAAGACCTTGGAGAGAAAGGGGAGGTTGGAGATGGGCCGGTAGCTTGATAGCTGCGACGCATCAAGGGAGGGTTTTTTCAGGGTGGGCGTGATGATGGCAGTTTTTAATGGAATGGGGACAGAGCCAGAGGAGAGGGACAGGTTGATGATGTCAGTGATATGTGGGGCAAGAAAGTGGAGCTGGGAGATAAGGAGTGGAGTGGGGATGGGGTCAAGGGAGCAGGTGGTTGGTTTTAGGGATAGGATGAGTTCAGTGACAGAGGGTGGGGAAACGGGTACGAAGGTGTGTAGGGGAGGATGGGTAGGAGTCGGAGTGTGGGAGGGAAGGGGTGGGTGGTGGGTGGAAGTTGGAGGGGAAGTGACCGCGGAGCGGATTCCCTTGATCTTGGATTCAAGGAAATCCAGCATCTCCTCGCAGTGAAGGTTGGAGGAGATGACCTGCGCGGGGTGGCGGGGGGGACGGAGGAGTCGGGTTGTGGTGGAAAACAGTAGCCTGGGGTTGTTCTTCGCCTCCAGGATTATCCTGGAGTAGAAGGACGACTTGGCCGAGGCTAGAGTGGAGCGGTAAATTTTGAGGAGGTCCAGCCAGATTTGTCGGTGGACCGTTAGGCCAGATTTGACACAGGTGCGTTCAGCAGCCCGCACCTGGCTTTTCAGTGAGCGGAGGTGGGTGGTGTACCAGGGGGAGGAGCGGGAGTAGGAGACAGTGCGGGAAGTGATGGGGGCAAGAGTATCGAGTGTGGAGGAGAGGGTATTGTGGAGGAGGGAGAGAGGAGAAGAGGGGTCGGTGAGGGTTGAAGGCCAGAGGGAGAGGAGTTCAGAGGACTCCAAGGCATCGGTTAGGGATTGTGGGGGTAACTTCTTCCAAGGGCGGTAGAAGATGGTGGTGGGTCTGGTGGAGGTGGGGAGGGGGGTGGAGGTGGTGAAGGAGATGAAGTGGTGGTCAGAGATGGCCTTGTCGGTAATAGTGACATCCGAGACACTGAGGCCCCGGGTGATCACCAAATCGAGTGGGTGGCCGTGACTGTGAGTGGGGGAGTTTATGTGTAAGGAGAGGTTGAGTGAGGAGAGCAGGGAAGAGAAGTCTGTGGAGATGGAGCAGGAGGGGGTGAAGTGTAGGTTAAAGTCGCCCAGGATGATGAGGCGATCGGAGCAGAGGCAAAGAGATGTGAGGAGTGTTGAAATGTCAGAGATGAAGGTGGGAGAGGTTTTAGGGGGCCGGTAGAGGAGGAGGATTTTAAGGGAGAGGAATGAGGGGTGGGAGAGGGTGAGGTGCTCAAAGGAGGGGAAAGAGCCAGTGGAGTAGGGGGATAGGGCAAGTGGTGTCCTTGAGATAAGGGCAACACCACCGCCACGGCGGTTGGGGCGGGGGATGTGGTGGGAGGTGTAGCCGGGTGGTGTGGCCTCCGTGAGGGGGAAGGTGTCGCCTGGGGTGAGCCAGGTTTCTGTTAAGGCCATGATATCAACGTTCTCATCAAGGATGAGATCGTTGATGACCAGGGCCTTGTTGCAGAGGGAGCGGACATTTTGCAGTCCGATGTGGAGGGAGCGGTTGACAGAAGGGTGTGTGGGAGGGGAGGGGGTCCAGGTTGTGAGGCAGGGGTGGGGGAATGGGGATGAGGGAGGAGAGGTTGACTCCCCGGGTCTGTGTCCGGGGTGGCTGGCGAGTATGGTGGGGAATGGGGCAGTCGGTGTGGCTGCTGCTGGACAGCCAACGCCGAGTGCCACGGTGAGCCCGGCGGAGGATTCCCAGGCTGGAGCAGAGGGAGGTTGTGGGAGGGTCAAGTGGGGATAGAAGACGAGAGGGACGGAGAGAGAGGAGGAGAGAGCGGGAGAGATGCAGAGGGGGGAGGGTTTGGGGGTAGAGAGGAGGGAGGAGGGAGGGAGGGGGGTCAAAGCGGCAGCCATAGTGCGCACGCGGGGACCGGGAGCGAGCGGTCAGGTGGATGGCATTATCCCGTAGATTGGGGCAGCAAACCCAACAGGACCATAGTGGGCTCTGATGTGAGCCCTGGGGGGGGGGGGGGGGCGCAGAGTTTTTTTTTTTTTGTGTGCGTGCGCACGTACCTGAAAACTAATCTATGACGTCGCAGTTCCCCCGCTCTCCCCCCCCCCCCCCCCCCCCCCCGGGGCTGAACTCGCTCCGGCGTCGAGTTTAAGTACCTGGTCAGTAGGCCCAGGCTCCTCCCCGCGCTGTCCTGCCGCCGCTCCCCGACTGGGGAGCACTCTTATTGTGTCATCGAGAGATTTCAAAGCATTTCGCAGGTGATGGCCTGTTTGGGTGATATCAATTCTGTGCAATTCTATGTAAAAATAACTTGCATTTATTTATAAGTGCCCTTCACGTGGGTCAGCATCAGAAAGCGCTTAACAATAGCGTAGTGCTGGGGAGAAAAGGGAGGGCAACCTTAAGCATAGCCGAAGAGGGAAAGTCTTCAGGTGTGATTTAAAGATGGGCAAAAAGGGGGCAAGACGGAGGGTTTGGAGTAGGATAGGAGTTCCAGCAGTTAAAATAAAAATGTCCTTATTTAGCATATCTGTGATAATGGAGATAATCTTCCAGAAACATTAACAATGGAAAAGATTACAATATAGTCTGACTGTACTTTTCGAGCATTGAAAACAATCAGATGTTTTGCCGGTCACTTTTCAGAAGGATTCTGGATACCCAGCTCTTGCTACTTGAATCTGGTTGTGGCGTAGGTGATCTCTGTGTTTCTGGCTTGAACCCTGGGTGCTGCGTGTGGCTGTGTTGTTTTCTGCTTGCGTTGGGGATCTGGGCATTTCCTGGAGTTGTTGAAATCCAAGGTGGCGTATGCCATCCCCTCACTGGCTGGTCTCTGCATGAGCTGCGTGGAAACAGCAGGAAAACTTCCGATTGACAAGACTCTGATTTTTTACATCATTATTGTCTAATTTGCAATATTTCTTAAACAGGATTTTTTTAAAAATAGAAAACGTGTCATTATCAAATTTCTAATTCAAAGATTTAGAAATGTGATAACTGTGTATTTCTTAAGAAATGCTGCAGATTAGCCCTGAATATCCAAATCTTCAAATACAATATAGTCCTACTTCTGATTTTCTGACTGATTCGTGATTGTAACTGCGCTGATTGGGGTCAAAACTTGATGGTAATTTAAAGAAAGTCATGTTTTCACCCTTATTAACTCCTGATCTTTCTCACAGTCTGTTACAGTTGTTGAACCCACAGTCTCGGCTTCGCTGTTCCGTTAAAAGAGATGTAGCAACAACAACAATAACTTGGGGTTATATAGCACCCTTCACTTGGGGTAGCGTCCTGGAGCGCTTAAGAGTGGCGGGGTCTGAGACCGAGCCGGGGGAGAGGGAAGGGGTAGGTGACCGTAAGCGGGATCAAAAAGGAAGGTCTTTCGGTGGATTTGAAGGTGGGAGTGGGGGTGGGGGCAAGAACGAGGAATTGAGGGAGAGAGTTCCAGAGTTTCGGGCGGAAGTAACACTGGGGAAAACTGATTCCAAATAAAGGCAACACAAAGAAAAACAAAAACGTAGGGAGAAAGAAAGAGAGGTAGATGTGAGTTTCAATGAACTAAAACCTTAAGAATAAATTGTGGGAATTGTGTGGCATAAAACCTTCCTTTCCCTCTGAAACCTCCGTCTGAATCCGGGTTCTCTCCTGGGCATAAGTGGTAAGTGTGAGCTGAGGTATGGGTAGTGTCAATCCATTTTTGAGTGGGTGTGAGTTTGCATGCAGGTCAAAACTGCCCAACACAAATTTAATATTGATTTGCAATCACTCGCTTGCTGAGATAAGTTGTGTAGGAATTGGAAGCGGCGCAAGTTTGCTTTGGGAGTGGAGCTTGCCCCATTTACATTGAATACATTATATTAGAATATACAGCACAGAAAAAGACCATTCGGCCTAACTAGTCTATGCTGGTATTTATGCTCCACATGAGCCTCCTCCTGCCCTTCCTCAACTAAGCCTTCAAGCATAACCTTCTATTCCTTTCTCCCTCATGTACCTGTTTAGCTTTCCCTTAAATACATCTGTGCTATTTGCCTCAACAGCTCCTTGTGGTAGCATGTTCCACATTCCCACTGCTCTCTGTGTGAAGAAATTTCTTCTAACTTCCCTGTTTGATGTATTTGTGACTATTTTATATTGATGGGCCCTGGTTTGGGTCTCCCCCACAAGTGGAAACATTTTCCCTATGTCTACCCTATCAAAACCTGTCATCATTTTAAAGACCTCTATTAGATCACCCCTTACCCTCCTCTTTTCAAGAGAAAAGAGTCCAAGCTGTTCAACCTTTCCTGATAGGTAGAACCTCTCAGTTCTGGGATTATCCTTGTGAATCTCCTTTGCACCCTCTCCAATCCCTCTACATCCCGTCTATAATGTGGGGACCAGAACTGCAACCAGTATTCTAAGTGTGGTGTAACCAAGGTTCTGTAGCAGTTTACCATAACTTCCCTGCTTTTCATTTCTATCCCTCTAGAAATAAACACCAATGCCTGGTTTGCTTTTTTATGACCTTATTAACCTGCGTTGCTACTTTTAGTGAAACTGTGTATGTATACCCCAAGGTCCCTTTGCTCCTCTACCCCATTTAGGTTTTTATTTTCCAGGATGTATGTGACAAGGACAAGTACTGGAAACTTTATGCTGCACGTAATGTGTGCTGGTTTTATTGCTTAGTTGTTGCCATTGCTTCAGTAATTGTAAAAGAAAACTAATTTAAAAGTTTCGCAACCACTTCTGACAACCAAAGAAAAGTAATACATTCAAACATGAATCGTCCATTTCAGTAAAGTTTTGAGTCTTTCTATCTCTCACTGTTCAGGAAACTTCAGTTTAAAAACAAATATTTTCAACAAACCTTGGAATATCTGATAACTGGGATTTTTGTCAACGTACCTGCATTTCCTGAACATCTGTTTCCACTGGTGTTATCTCTCTGCCTGGTGAGCAGAATGACACAGAAGCTGGGTTACATCACCGGATAAGCCCTTTGGCCCATCTGATCTCATCCTTAAATCATTGTGCTCGGAAATTAGCACAGTCACAACAGTAACTACTGCTAACCATGCTAATTAACTACTGCACTCATTCAAGATCATATTTGTACTTGCCTGATGAACATATCTGTTTTAAGAATCTTGAACATGGCTTTTCTGGTGGAAATATTTAAATGGATACATTTGCTGTTGCATTAAAGGAGGCCTTACATTTAGCACATGATCCCAAATAGGTTTGAGTAAAGAAGGACCTTCCTTCCAGAATACCCACCCTATCATATTCCCATTATACCATCAACCTGTTTCTTAAATTGAGTCCACCTCCTGGCTAAGTCATTCTTCCTGATGACCCATTTCAGATGTTGACTGATTAAAGGAATGAATCCTGATGCCTGAAAGTGTGGGGGAAGCCGATTTGATAACAACTTTTAAGAGCGAAGTAGATAATTATTTGGGAAGGACAAGTTTGCAGGGCTATGGGGAGAGAGTGGGGGAGTGGGATTGAATTGGATAGCTCTTTTCAAAGAGCCGGCAAAGACACGATGGGCCGAATAGCCTCCTTCTGCGCTGTATATTCTATGATTTTATGATATGATTCTATGTCTATCCTAAAGTTTCCCTTCACAGTCCTAAATGATGTCGTCTTAGGCCTGTCTCTAGGACTTGGGATACCTGGAAGTATTGTTCTGGGTTTATCTCAATAGTATTTAACATCTTGTATAAAAAAACCACAGTTATCACACATTTCAATATCTTTAACTTTGGTGTGATTTTCTAACTATTTTGTTGGACTAAACGAGGCGTTCATTTCAAAGTTTAATGCGAACTGGAAATGTCACAATAAACAGAAGTACCACAGAAAAATCAATTGTTTCCATGACATACTTGAGGTGCAGGTTAATTTGGATCTGCCATCAATTTTATTTTTCGGTGTGAGCCTGGCTCAGTTGGTAGGACTCTCACCTCTGAGTCAGAAGGTTCTAGGTTCATGGCCAACAATACATCTGATAAACCCAGATTGCTTTCAACTCAATTGACGACTTCAAAGTTAATTATGGCGTCCGACCTTATACGCTTGAAATATTGACTGACCTAGGTTCAATTCATATCACAAAACAAAACCAGGCATCCTTACCTTTGAATATACAGCACCTACAGAGTATCAGTATGCTAATTGGAAGTAATAGAAGGAAAGCTCCAGTTCCTATAGAAGCGTAGAGCCACCAGGGTAAATGGTTGGCATTTTCTGCAATATATACAAAACAAGTACAAAATTCAGTTTGCTGTTTATTTCCCTCTAATATTCTCTCTTTTCCTGAAGATTCATTCTGCCCACAAAATATACGCTTTACAATATATTCAATGAAGCGCTTTGAGATGTCTCAACGATGTGATAAGGCGCGAGATCAATTGCAAAGATTATTATCCTCCATCCTGCCTTATCAATATCTGAACCTGTTCTAGGTTTACTTTATCCATCCCCCACACCATTTTATCTAGTTCTATGTGACCTCCGAATTTCACTTCAGGACTAGATTATCTAGTCCTTCCTAGACCGTCCCGCTAACACAAGGGAATCAACTTCATTGTTTCCCTCACCGTGAATCATGAAAAAAATGCCTGGAAATAACAAAAAAAAAGATTGATATAAAACCACATTGTCACCTAACTCCACACATGATCATGCCAAATACTCCACGGTTCTTCTGACTCCTCAGGTAGGATTGATGAAAACGTTTTCATCGTTTACACAGCTCGAATTGAGAATCATTTTGTCTTCAAAACGTTAAACCCAGATTCATAACACATTTCATTTATATAACGCCTTTCACATCGGAAGAACGTCCCAAGATGCTGGACAACGACAACAACTCGCATTTATATAGCTCCCCTCATGCAGGGTATGTTTGAGGGGGGGAGGGAGGGGGGCAGTGGTGTGCGGATGAGTGTTGGTGTGTGTGTGTGTGTTGGGGTGAAGGGTGTTCAATGATGTGCGTGTGGGACACAACCTTCCAATAATCATGGGAGCAGCATTGAGAAACGTCTAACCATTACCTGGAGAGGTGAAAATGTAATTAGAGATGGCTGGAGTCTGGAGAGAGGGGTGGGAGACTTGACAGGTATAAACTGTCCCCGGCTGCACAGCGCTTTTCTCTTCCATGGAGCTGGACACTTGAAAGAGCCCCTGTTCACTCGGCTGTACATCAGTGCTGATCCCCGTCGCAATCTCTGAGCCATTCACAAACCAGCTGAGTTGCAGCTCGTCTGGGTAAAACCCATGGGTCTTACACACCAGCTTCAGAAACACAGATGAACTCCTTTCAAGCGGGATGGAGGTGATCTTCAAAGGAGCTGGGGGAACTTGAGAGCAGATAAGGGAAGAAAATGTTATTTTAGCTCAGCAGATAGAATAGGGAAGCACTGGGCAAGAGAAAGGGAGAGTATTTGGATGGTGTTCCAAAAGCATAGCGATGGATTTCACAGTAACTGAGAGCACCTGAGCTCTCTCTCTCTCTCTCTCTCTCCCTGGTTCTCTGCTAACTTCTGTAGGTCATTGTTTCTTTGAGAGATTTCTGAGAAACGTGACTCCACACCCGATCTGCCCTGCAAGCTCCTTCGTGTTTAAACATTCAGATGTTTTATTGGTTTCCTCGACCTATCTTTTAATTGAAACCCACAGCCCGGGCTGTGTGTGTTCACTGAGCACTGTCCCAGGGCAACTCAATGCCCAAATGTATTGTTATAACACAATACAATCTAGTACAAATATCTCTGTTGACCTTCTAGAACTCGGCAACGAATGGTTCAGACTCCACAAGTGTCGTTGCCTCCTCGCCCAAGAGGATTACTAAGATTACTAACTTTCAGTTCAATATGTCTTAAAAAAAGAGTACAAAATTGACAATTTTTTTTATGAGATGCTGTCTGGTAGCAGGCACTGACCGGACAGATAAAATGGAATAAAAGGAATAACTGGAATGTATTTCGCGCACAAAATATACAGTCCTGCATATCCTGTGAAGCGCTTTGAGAAGTCTCAATGATGTGATAAGGCTCTATATCAAATGCAAGGATTATTATTGTGTGAAATTAAAGCAAAACATGCTGGCAATGCAGCGTGGACAGACTTGTTTCCATCAACGGCAATTCACCGCAATGTCTCGCTGCTTATTATTAATGTTACTGATTAATAGATGAAGAAGAGACATAAACACTTAATATACAATAGAAATTTATATTTATTTTAATTGTAATTGATTAATAGAAGTTACACATTAACATGTCACTCTCTGCTTTGGTCTGGCTACAATTTGAATCGTTCTCTGATTATATGTGCTAATTCCCTGTTTGTGTGCAACTAGCTGTCGCGTTTCACCCGCAACATACAGAGTCATTTTCAACTCTACAATATATTCTATGAAGCACTTTGAGACATCTCAATGACGTGGTAAGGCTCTATGTCAAATGCAAGAATTATTATTATTATTACTATAAATCAGGACTGCCAAGTGCCTTGCGACGTCCTCCGAATGTGAAGGTCGCTATTAAAAATGTAAATTTGTATGGTATATGAAAAGTTTATATCTCTTCTTCATCCACCTCTCTCCTACAAAATATATAATTCCTAGGTTTTCAGAATTTAGCACAATTTAGAACTTGACTTCAAGATGATAATCCTTGCATTTAATGTAACGCTTTATCAAGTTGTTCAGATGTCTCAAAGCCCTGCACAGAATATACTGTGAAGTCAATTGACTATATATTTTTGTGGGTGAACCATGGCAGCCAATTACGCACAGCAGTGTCCCACAAACAGTCGTAGATTGAGCGACCAAATTATTATTTTTTTGAAGGGATTATAACCCCGGAAAGCGATCTGCCTACAGTCATAATCCCTTCAACTAACGTCCGAGTTCCTACTTACTGCAATGTAAATAGAGATGTGTGGAGTAAGGAAACTTGCCTAAGGTTTCGCCCGCTCGGGAATCAAACCTGACCCGGGTCCTCTCGCTTGTGAGGCGAGTGCTCTAACCAATACTCTACAGGACCTCAGTTCAATGGCTTTTGATGCAAAACATGTTTTAAAAAGACGGACGCAAAAGGTGTAGAAGCATCCTTAGGTATCAGCCAAGTTTTTCTTTGTAAAATGACAAAAATCTTAAATCAAAGTGAACGATTTGCAAACTTTCTCCGTTTTGCACGATGGACAAGAGCTTTAACGATGTTTTTAACTGAACTGAACCTTTGCCCCAAGTGGGAAAGATGCCAAGAGATGTTGAGCTTTTTGTTTTCTGTTTTTACAGACTTCTTATTCTTCAAATTTTGGCTACAATTTAAGTGAACCACAATAATCCCATCAACTTTTTTTAAACAATAAATAAATAATAATTTGGTCACTTCAATCCACGACTGTTTGTGGGAAACTGCTATGCGCAATTGGCTGCTGGGTTTCGCCCACAAAATACACAGTCAATTCACTTACAGTATATTCTGTGCAGCGCTTTGAGACGTCTCGAAGACTTGATAACGCGCTATATCACATGCAAGAGTTATTATTATTATGATTATTATTATAATTTACATGTATATTCTGTAGTGCATTTCACATTGGGAGGATGTATCAAAGAGCCTCACACAACTGTTTCGCAAACCTGAGCTGGAGGGGGAGAAATTGAGGAAGGAAAGGGAAGGAAGGGCGGCTGAACGTATGGTCAAAGTGATGAACCTCTGGAGTTAGAAGAATTCGTACTTTTCTAGCCTTTAACGTTATAATTTGAAGCGCTTTGAGACGTCTCAATGATGTGTTAAGGCACAATATCAAATGCAATGATTATTATTAAGATTATTTTAATTGTAACTTACTCACTTCACTGGATATACAGTTTGATTGCTCTCTGTTATTTTATTTCTGTTTATTTAGGCTTTTTGATAATAAAATACTTCCTAATGTATAGGATTGAATATTTTTAATGCACAGAACAACTGTGGCCACAAATAGATTTATCCTCACCTTTACAAATATTGCTGCAATTGCGAGGCATTAAGTTTCTCCTTGTGTCCTGGCCAACAATTCTACCAAATAAAAAAATTACTTTTACTTTTCATTTACTTCATGGCTATTTGTGGGACACTACTGTGCATTCAATTAGCTGCCACATATGTCCTTTTAATGTGAAAGGCACGATACCAAATGTAAGGATTATTAAGGTAGAAAATTGACCAATATTAATGAGCTAAAATAGTGTCCAACACCACGTGTAATATCTAACACAGTTTTGGGATGCAGATAAGATTTGTAATTCTCATTGTGTCTGTCGTGGGACATTGCCGGATGCAAAGTGGCTGTCTAGCCTACAAATGCACAGTCGCTACACTTTATTGATGCTGTATCAAGTACCAGGATTATTTATTTATTCTGTGGATTCCCAGCGTTGGAGGCACTCACCGCTTACATCCAGCCATGTGCCATTTCCATTCCCGATTTGAAGCTCGTATCTGACTTTGCAGTAATAGCGTCCTGAGTCCGAGACACTCAAATTTAGGAGGTGAAAGACGGCAGTACCTAGATTCACAACTTCAAATCGATTCCTGGTATCCCTTCTGTTCAATAATTCCTCTTCTCCCTCCCTCCACCATTGGACATCAATTTGGGATTTATCTTTGACAAGCGAGAAAGAGCAATAAAAGGTCGCATTTGTGCCTTTAGTCTTTCTCAGCCGCTCAGGAACCTGTTTCACGTTCTGGAGAGGTTTCCAGGTAACTGGAGGAAAGGAAAGTAACAATAAATAATACAGTAAATAAATGTGAGTTAAACGCGCTCCACAGCAAGTAATCTGCGGACACGTGAAAACCGAAAAGGACAATCAAAGTGAAGCACAACTCCAAAAATTATTGCACAGAAACTTTCCAGTTTGGGTAAATGACCTTTCTGCAATGTGATCACACGCACCTGTGAAAATCATTCCCAGCCTCAAAAGCAAAAGAAGTGTCCTCACAGCAAACATTCTGAGTAAAGATCCTTAACTCAATCCATCTCTTCATGGAACTGGGAGCAAACTAGAGGTAGGTGTGAAAGACAAAGACTTTATAGGTAACGTGCCTTATAGCGTGTTCAGACATCAGACATCTCACTGCGGTTTGTGACACCGGCTGCGGGTCATTTTTTTTTGGGTCGGGACTGCGGGGCGGCTGGTGGGGCTCGCAAATATGTCAATATGTCAAGCAAAGACTGTGCTTAAAACAAGGTTTCGTCTGAAGTTTAAAACGGAAATGTTATCTGGAGTTAAATCTAGATTGCTGTTGTGTGTGGAAATTATTTAGCTGGTAGATCTTGCTTTTTGAAAAAGGAAACCATAACCTTTCCGTGACGTGACCTGACCCAGATCAATCCGATTTTCTGGTCAACATGGTGATTCTGGGCAGAGCTGGACAGTCTCTATGCAGTCTGATGTGGTAATTTTGTGGTAACCCACCTCCTCATGGAAATTCCAGAGATAGCTTGTTGGAATGGAATGAGCACTCGTCAGGGAGTTGTCCCGCTTACCTAATTCAGAAAGTATTAGGTGCAGTTTGACAGGAGTCAAGGCTTGGGGACTCCCAAGTGTGCGTTGGGGTAACTGCTGGAGTGTGACCAGCTAAAACTGCATAGCTTGCCATTGAGATCGCTGTCTGGCAAGCTTTCCCGCTGCTTGTCCAGCTGGTACCACCCGATCCTTTAGGGCTTTGGCAACTAGCGTGACTGCATATACTGAAACATGTCTCTATTGCTCCATGCTTCAGCCTCTGAAACTCATGAATATTTTAATGAAAACTCTGACCCTCTTTTTTTTAATATAAAAAGTTATCTCCTTAATTTTCCAAACCCTCTGTGCCAGTGCAATATACACTCTCCTAACTCACTATATCAGCAGTGAGCCGACCCACCTGCCTGCCACCAACCGGTTAGTCTAATATCTGGGCAACTTGTGATGAAACTACAGCACAAAACCATGTGGAGTCAGGCAAGTAAAACCTCTCTCATTGTCACGGCAAATTGACTTGGGCTGAACCACTTCTCGGTTTCCTTCATTTTTACCACTTAAGATTAGATGATTATTTTGTAAAAGCCTGCAGTAGAAATGAACACAATATCCTGCCTGGGTGTGGAAGCTTTTAGAACCACTGCACTACACCACAGTGGTAGTAACTGCAATCCAATAAATGTTAAGCATGGTCCAGTTTAGAATGACTGTAGATGTAATTGCAGTGTATTTGTAGGCAAGATCGGCAGCCAACTTGCATGCATCAACGTCTCACAAACAACCAGGAAGTGAATAACCAATTTAACTGAAGGATTATTGGTATCAGATAGAATGCAGAGGAGCTTCACAACAACAACAACAAATTGCATTTGTATAGCACGATTAACGTCAGGAAGACGTTCCAAGACGCTGGGCAATGAGGGGTTAGCACCCAGGCTGTGGGTTGGGTTCAGAGAGGGATTGAGCGCAACGGGGGGCGGAAGAGGGAAGATGATCGAAGGCACGGTTGAAAAGGAAGGTCTCGTGATGGACTTTGAAGGAGGCAAGAGAGGTGGCGAGGCGGATGGAATTCCAGAGGGTGGGGGCTGAAAGGCCGAAGGAAAGCCTGACCGCCGATAGTGGAGCAGGCAGGGCGGGGGGTGTGGAGCAGGCAGGGCGGGGGGTGTGGAGCAGGCAGGGCGGGGGGTGTGGAGCAGGCAGGGCGGGGGGTGTGGAGCAGGCAGGGCGGGGGGTGTGGAGCAGGCAGGGCGGGGGGTGTGGAGCAGGCCAGTGCCTGCAGTCACAGCAAAGTACAACGCTACACTAATATTGGTACATGTGAGTCACTGAAAATTCCACTGTGTTGGGCGACAAGTGACAAGCCTTGTAACGTAAATTGACACTTTCTGTATGCCTGACAAATAACAAGTTGTAACTGAAGTCACTCTAACGCGGCTCATTTGGCATTGCAATTGAAAGGTATTGAGCGATTAGATTAATACGCCTGGTAATACTACTTACTGGGGATTGATTAGAGTCTCAGAGACTAACAAAGGTTCCTCAAAAGTCAGCCGAGCAGTCACTTGTTCAAATCAAATAACTGGTGAACTAATTTCATTCAAATAACTCATTTCACAATGAACAAAGTGTTCATTGATCCCAAGTGCTCAGCTGTCACCTTCCTTAAATGTTGCCAACCTTACCACACATTGAGGGATTGGAAAGGTTCTGGTTGGTGTATTGCACTGATAGACATGGGAATGGTGTGGCTCAGCAAGAGCTCTGGAGAAGTCATCAAAAGGATGAATTATATTGGAGAAATAAGTGGACCTGCCAACTTTTCAGAAAGGTGGATCCATCACTTGCAGAATGCAGGAGGACATGATACAATACTGGATACGCTCAACGACAGATAGATAGTGGCATCAACTTAATGCTCAAAGATGGAGCATTTGCAGTCACTGATGTCTTCTTCACGTTAGGTGTGAAAATTTGATATGATTCAGTCCTAACATTCCGACTAAACCGAGTATCAATCTCTGAAGCCTTGGAACGTCCTACCGACGTGAAAGGCGCTATACGAATGTAATCTTGTTGTTATTGTTGAAGGCACTGCTCTGAAACTCCCAATGAATTGAGCTATAGCCAGCAATAATGTTCATGGAGTACATGGCAATCCTTTTCTGTCAAGGTCCCGTTTCCCATTACCGTTCAATCTCAATCTGGTCAATTTCAATGAGGTCTGGACGTTGGATAAACACCAATGTAATCCTATACAAGACAACCCTGCTCAATGAAAACAACGAAACAAGCAAAATCCTTGTCTTGATATTATGTTCAAGGCCGCGCCTCACCTTACTTCTGCAAACTGCTCCAGCCCCTTTCTCCTGGCCATCAACTCTCCTCCCCCAACTTGGGACTATTGGGTATTCCTCAGTCATTCCATCCCACCAATTGTGGCCCCACTTTCAGCCACTCTGCCTCCGCTCTCTGGAACAAAGACCTAAATTCCCTTGTGCTGTCAATCCCTGTTTTCCATCCTGCTTCCATCCTTCATCATCTTTATAAAGAGCTCTGAGGCACTATCGCATGTGGAAGATGTTATGTACATATAAGATTATGTTATAAATCACAGGATCAACCTTGCGGTCAATGTGGACTGCAGTTGAGGTTAGTATTGGTTTCAATGCCCCTTAGGTTAGGTTAGAGAGGGTAAAATAAGCCAGGATTCTCAGTTCTGTCCACTATCCCTGCTATTCCTGCTTGAAGGTCAAATTGGTGAGGACAGCATTGGGCTGAGCTGTATGTTGAACAGCCTGTCACACTCAGTATCAAGACCTTCAGTTGAATAGTGGACCTTTAGGTGAGATACAGAAAGCTTCACAGAAAGTGTAGTCCAGGGTAAGGGAAAAGGAGTCAAACACTCTCAGAGAGGAGAGTGGAAGGGAGAGGAGAAAAGTGGAGAACAGAAATTGTCAGGGAGCAAAAACAGAGAAACAAGGGACTGCCATTTATTGTAACCGCACTCGCAGACAAGGTTCTCAATATTTCCTTTTAGATCCTGTTTTCTAGTGCATTCTAGTTCACCACTTCCTCTTTTGCCAGGTGACACTCACTCATTGAACAGGAGACAGCCATCTTACCCAAGTTGCTGTACCCTTTATGCATCAACAAGCGTTGTAATTATCTGAGCAGTGAACTTGCTTTCAGTGGTTGTCTGCTGGTTGTGTACTTCAGTTTGTTTGATGGTTGATTTGCGCTGGACTGTTTAAGGCCAACAGAGAAGGATTTTCTTTGTTTTCACTTTATACCACCAAGTGAATGAGCTTGCTTATTGTATTTACTTTTGATGGGTTGAAAGAAACGTTAATTCACTTACTGTATTTTTTTTGCAAACATCATGGAACAGCCTGATTGAGGAGGCGCCGGAATCCATCTGCAAACAATTGGGTAAGGACATTTTTGGAAGGATTTTAAAATATACTTTTAGAGAGAATTTTTTTTAAAAAAACTTTCTTCGCGATGATACGCAACAGCAATGTATAACTACATTTTCTGTGACTCGATGGTGTCTATAATACTCTTGCGTTTCTGGTCATATTTAGTCCAAAGAGATGAATGGACTAAATAATAAGTCCTGCTAATAAGCAGGTTCTCCACAGGGGCAACTCTGATCATGTTACAGGGTCTCCAATCATAGAACAGCATTCATATTAAGTGTCCCTCTCTCCACCCAGATTCTGGAGTTTGCTTCAGCAGGTTAACAATTGCCCCAGGACCATATGATCTGATACGCTATGTTGAATGGCCCAGTACCTGCCAAATTACCATTGTTCATAGCAGCCCCAAGAACAACACAACAACAAGATTTCATTTATAGAGCGCAATAATAATTTTGTTCCGGCTTGTGTTTTGCAAGTCATTTCCATTTCCATTTTCAACTTCCTCTTGGGGAAGTGCTCAGAGCTGTGAAAATTGGAGCAGGGTTTACCCAATCGACCCTTCTTGTTACTTGGTCTAACTTGGTGGAGCCATTGTTTTGTAGACTACACAGGCGCAGTGCAAGGTGGGTTTTGCTGTCTGGGTGCTGCTGCTTCTTTGCAACTTGAATGTCTTCTATCTCGCAGATTGTGGAGTTCTGTAGTATATTGGTTAGAGCACATGCAGGTGAGAAAACCCAGGTTCGATTCCCGAGCCAGGCGAAACCTTAGGAAAATTTCCACGCATCTCCGTTTACCTAGCAGTAAGTAGGAACCTGGTTGTTAGTCAGTTGGGGATTGTTTTTCTGGGGGTAATAATCCCTCAAAAAGAAATGTGATCACTCAATCCGCGACTGTTTGTGGGACACTGCTGTGCGCAAATTGGCTGTTGCGTTTCGCCCATAAAATATACAGTTAATTCACTTTACAGTATATTCTGTGAAGCACTTTGAGATGTCTCGACAATGTGATAAGATGCTATATCAAATGCAAGAATTATTATTATTCGGATTATTATCTGTTCATTAGATACAGTTGTCTAACTTAGTACTGAATCTTCTTGTGCTGATTATATGAAATCAAGTACTGTATATTTGTGATAAATAACAACTACAAAGACAGATGAAAGATTTTTTTTTGAACTATATTAACCTGCTTCGGTGTAATATTGTAATATTGAGTAGATATTAAACAAGAACTTTACAAGAGAAAATAATTTGCAGGGCAAGAGGGGAAATTCACCGCGCAAAAAAACATTTTACTTTTACATTGGTGTGATATTTGGTATACATTCGTTTCTCTGATATTAAATTTAATTAAACCTTCTGCTCTGCATTTGCTTGGAACTACTTCACAAGGATTTCCTGTATATAACTCTCACTGTTTTGCAATGAACTGGAAACTCAGAATCTTGAAGCTCTGGATGTTCGTCCCAATAAAATTTGATGTCTATTCCTGCACTTTTGAAGAATCCTTTGAATTGTGTTAATACTTTTCAATCAAATGTACATTCCAATGTGCACAGAAATTTACTTCACTGAAAGTTTTCCATAGTTTACTTGCAATTGTGCAACACCACTGTTATTCCAATGCTTTCCCTTTTTCTATTCAAACAGAAGGTGTTTAATAACAACTTGCATTTATGTAGCACCCCTCACGCAGTGTAGTGTCTCAGAGTGCTTCACGGTGGTAGAGCACGACACAGAGCTGGGGAGAGGGGGAGATGGCCATAGGCACGGTCAAAGAGGAAGGTCTTCAGGCACTACCTGAAGATGGGAAAGTAGGGGACAAGGGAAAGGCATAGATGAAGAATGTTCAAGAGTTTCTGAACTTTTGTATTTTGTTATACACAGTGCCTGCAGGATGGGAAACCCAAAGCGATCTTGCTTCATTGCTTTGTACAAATATATTATTGTGCTCAACCTCATTCTCCTTTGTGCCCAAGTAACTGGTAAGATGTATTCCTTCATTTAAAAATCGCTTGTTTTGTATTTTCGCAAGTGTAACTATTTTTGTGGTTTCTAAGATGCACACTTTTCCAAAAATTCATGTCTACAGAAAGAATGTTGTTAGCAGCAGCAAAGAGAAAGGATAAACCTGGTACAATAATAATTCCACCATCTTCATTACACCCACAGATAATACATTGTTACACTAACATCATAGCATTACGTACACGGCACTCCACTTAACTGCATATCGGATAATTGCATACGCCATTTAATTGCACAGTAATTTCTAGGTACCATAAATTCGCTATCTGTTTGCATGGTATTGCACTGTGCTCAAACACATATCAGATAATTGCCTAATATGCTTAACTGCATGAAAGACAGCCAAGCAAGTTGATTTCATTCTTAGTGTATAATTAGTTTTAATTTATACAGATGGCAAGGGAAAAGATGATGGAGAGAAAGACAGATCAAATGGCAAGTTAAAAAAAACGGAGAACGATTCTAAGAAAAAAGATAAGTCTGAAGGTATGAGAGTATGAAATGGGTTATTGTATGAACTTTGGGTTATTGTATACTCCATATAATTGCACGCTTTCTGTCTGGTCCGGACTCCATACAATTATACAGAGTGCACTGAATGGAAAGTCCAGAGCATTTCTAGATTATCTCACGAAGAATAAGGATAAACGATTACAGCTAATCCCTGCATGCGTCCAAATACATTTGTTAGTAATAGTTTTATTGCCTCTCAATTAATGTTTAATATCTGTGTGATGGAGTAGATGTGTTACTGTGCATGCAATAAAAATGTAAAATCTTTGTTTTGAATTTATAACAATAATAATAATAATCCTTGCATTTGATATAGCGCTTTTCACGTCGGGAGGACGTCCCAAAGCGCTTCACAGAACACACTGTAAAGTGAATTGACTGTATATTTGTGGGCGAACGCGGCAGCCAATTGCGCACAGCAATGTCCCACAAACAGTTGTAGATTGAAAATGACCAATTTTTATTATTGTTTTTGGTTTTGGAGGGATTATTATTAGGCTCTGTGTGGAGTAAGGAAACTTGCCCAAGGTTTCGCCCTCTGCCTGGAATTGAACTCAGGTCTCTCGCTTGCAAAGTGAGTGCTCTAACCACTGAGCTACAGGACTCCACATGAAATAATTTTTACCATTTGAAATAAATGGTAAAAATTATACCAAACATTGAAGAATCTGTTTTTCCTTTTTTAATTAAAATCTCTTTCAATTCATATAAAACAGGAAAGGCATGCGACACGAAGCCAAGGGTTTGTTTGAAGGGAGAGGAGGACCGAAAAAAAAAAGATTGTTTCAAGGCACACAAGTAAGTTTACGTGTATTTGAGCAGAAAATATCACACTAACACTGAAGTAGACTCTTTTCACAGGTTTGTGATATCAGAAAAGCAACCTGCTTTCTCTAGTGCAAGCCAAACTGCACTCAGATCATATAACATATGTGTGTTCAAAAATTATAGATGAGTTCAATGAGGTTAACTTAAGTAGGCTGTTTTCACTAGTTGGGGAGTCCGTTACCAGAGAGCACAAACATAAGATTGAGGCAAAGGTATCAAAAATAGAATTTAGGAGGACCTACTTCTCACAGAGGGTAGTGAGATTGTGGAAATCGCTGCCTAAAGAGGTGGTTGAAGTAGCGAGTGGAGATGCATTCAACAACAAAAAACATTACATGTATATCGGCCTTTCACGTTGGGAGGACGTCCCAAGGTGCAGGACAATCAGTGTTTCGGACCTGAGGTGGGGGTCGGATTCAGGGAGGGTGGAGGGCAGGAGGGGAAGGAGGCATGGTCAAAGAGGAGGGTCTTGAGACTGATCTTGAAGGAGGCAAGGGAGGGGGCGAGGCGGAGCGACTGTGAGATGGAGTTCCAGAAATCGTCAGGATGAGGGGAGGGAAGGGAGGGAGCAAGGAGTGGGTAGAGAGTCGAGAGGGGAGCTGAAGGCACGGTCGAAGAGAAAGGCTTTGAAGGAGGAAAGGGAGGAAGCGGCGAAGGCACTGGGGGATGGAGTTCCAGAGCCTAGGGGCTGAGAGGCTGAAGGCCCGGCCATCGATAGTAGGGCGGTTAGGGTGGGGGATGTGGAGCAGATCGGAGCCAGAGGAACGGAGGGTACGGGCAGCTAAGTAGGGGGATAGTAGGTCGGAGAGGTAGGAGGGAGCAAGGCCGTGAATGGCCTTGTAGGTGAGGATGAGGATCTTGAATTTGATCCTCTGGGGGATGGGGAGCTAGCTCCTGAGGTGTGAAGGCACTTGATGTGTGACAGACATTCTGTCAGGACAGCAGTGGTCCTGGAGTCAAGGGAGGAGGCAGAGAGATAGGTGTTGGGTATCATCCGCATAGATATGGAAGTTGACTCCATGTCTGCGTATGATGTCCCCAAGAGGGAGGAAGTAGAGGGAGCCCTGGTCACAGATGGACAAAATGTCATTTGTCACTTTGACCAGGGCTGTTTCTGTTCTGTTCGCGGCACAGAAAGCCGATTGGAAGAGTTCGTGAAGGGAGTGGCGGGAGAAGAGGGAGCGAAGCTGAGAAGCAACGACTCGTTCCAAGACCTTGGAAAGGAAAGGGAAGTTGGAGATGGAGTGGTAGTTTGAGAGCAGGACTGGTTCTCGGGAGGGTTTTTTTGGGAGAGGAGTGATGATGGACATTTTTAAAGGGGTGGAAACTGTGCCAGTCGACAGGGAGAGGTTTATGATGTGAATAGAGGGGCAGCGAGGTGGAACTGGGAGATAAGAAGAGGTGTAAGGTTGGGGTCGAGGGAGCAGTTGGTCGGTTTCATGCTGGTTATAGTGGTAGTGAGAGAGGAGTGGGAGACAGGTTCGAAAGTGCAGAGGGAGGGATGGGTAGGGGCCAGGGTGTGAGGGGGAGATGGGGAGAGAGTAGTAGATGGAAGGGCAGAGGCAGCTGAGCGGATCCTCTCGACTTTGGTTTCGAGGAAGCCCAGCATCACCTCGCAGTTGGCGTTGGAGGAGAGGATGGGCGAGGTGTGAGATGGTGAACGGAGGAGTTGGTTGGTGATGGAGAAGAGGAGCCTGGGGTTGTCCTTGGCCTCCAAGATTGTCTTGGAATAGAACGACGGTTTAAAGAGGTGAGGGTGGAGAGGTAAGATTTGATAAGGTCCAGTTAGATCTGCTGATGGACCTTTAAGTTGGATTTGAGCCAGGTGCGTTCAGTGGAAAGAGGAAGCTAGACCTTCACATGAGAAAGAGGGGAATAGTGTTTGTACGATCGGGAGATGGAAACAAGATCAAATGAAATAGGGAACGAGAAAAAAAATGGAAAAGATGTCAACATTGTAGTTTCATTAGATCATAAAGCCACATATTTTCTTAGTTGTGTTTTTTTCTTTCATTTGTTACAGATTCAATAGAAAGTGTCTCTCGAAAAGCCTTGTATTTGGGAGTATTGATGACATTCACAGCGTCGCTGAAAATCAGGGATTGAGGGTTTATGTAAAAGAGTCTAATTTCTCAACGTTTACCAAAACATACCTTTCGGCTAATTCAGCGGGTGTAAGTGCTCCCTATGTTGTGATTAATCATACCACTACTTTGTGTGCAGTACTGTAGCGTCGCTCAATCCCTCTGCCTTGCCCCCTCCCTCCCCACTTTGAAATCCCACCTAAAGACCTTCCTTTTTGATCATGAGTACGGTCACCTTCCCCCACCCCCCCCCTCCCCTGGCTCAGGTTCAGACTCCGCCCCTGTCAGACGTTACCCTGTGTGAAGGGCGCTATACAAGTGCAAGTTGTTGTTGTGGCTAGCGCACTCGTCTCGCAAGCGAGAGGACCTGGATTCGATTCCCAGGGAGGTTGAGGCCGGACCTTAGGCAAGTTTCCTTGCTCCACACACTTCTAGCAGTTTAGTTAGCAGTAAGTGGGAACCCGTTTGTTAGTTGGTTGGTGGATCGCTTTCCACAGGTAATATGCAATCGGCTGCCTCTTTTTGCCCACAAAATACACAGTTAATCCAGTTTACAGTATATCTATCCTGTGAAGCACTTTGAGACGTCACCATGATATGATAAGGCACTGTATGAAATACAAGGATTATAATTATTCTAACAGATACAACAACTTGAATTTATATAGCACTTCATGTGGGGTAGCAACCCAGAGCACTTTCTCTAAGAAAGAAGGAATTTTTAGCATCTTATATCAAAACATCTCAAAGCAATAGTTAGTGTTAATTAAAAATAATTATTTTTATACTGTATTCAAACATACACCAGCATGGTGACTCAAACAGCTATTAGGAGAATCACTAAATAATCTAGAGCATTGGTGATTTTGACCAAGTGACTGTGTATTTTATGGGTGAAACGCAGCAGCAATTATTCGCATACTCTAAGGTCTCCAAATTGATTACAGGGTTGAGATTCCATCTGGAATGATTCTATTGTATTCAGTCTTAACTCTGAACTGTTTTATCTGTAATTCTTGAAAGAAGTTCAATTTTAAGACTGTATTTAAGAAGTTTTGCATGCTCTGAAATGCTAAGAAGGTTGAGTACATCTCTTCTCTCACCAACATTACACAAAAGATCTTACTCCTTGATCAGAATAGAGCATTTATCATGTAAAAAGAACAATATAATGAGATTTCTGACCTTTTTGCTCACTCCTTGCTGGGGTCTTTCCTAATATTTATTCAGGTTTTAATCTGATTAGAGCAAAGTCTCTCTTTTCATGGTGATCTTCTATGGCTGTTTGTGGAACATTTCTATACGCAAATAGGCTGCTGCGTTCATCTACAAAATATACAGTTACTACACTTTACAAGTAAATGCAGTTCATTTCTTCATCTGCAATTACTTGTTGAATAAAGCCAACATTCCAAACTTGGCTCCAACGGGTTAAGTTGCTTATACTCAAGAGCTCTGCGATAGTGCCCTGCGTGGAGTACCCTACATAAGTGTGAGTTGTTGTTGCTTATACATGCCCGCGTGACATTCCTCTAGCAGTCTCTTCTATTTATCAGATCCATGATTGATCAATCAATCAAAATATTATTATTATTGGTAATATCGTGTTAAATGAGATGCATTTCAGAAATTGAGTAGATGAAATGATCACTCTCCTTGTGTTATCCAGGAAATTTATTCAAGCCAAAGCGAGGACGACAATTCTGAAATTACAGTGATATTGCCACAAGAACTGGCAGCAAAAGCCAAAGAGCAGCACAATGATTTTTCAAGGATTGTGTTTGCTGTGATTGACAACCTAACTCTTTTTGAGGTACAGGAGCTCATATTATATCCTAGCCACTTACCTAGCAGTAAGTAGTAACCCGGTTGTTCGTCGATTGGCGGATCGCTTTTTCTGGGGTAATAATCCCTTCAAAAAAAATAATAATAATTTGGTTACTCAACTCTGTTTAACCTAATTCTGGAGATTATTAGCTGCAGGTTGGCAAGAACCAAGACTTGGGGTCCCCAGAGTGTGTGTTTGAGAAACTGCTGGAGGCTAACTATATTCTGTTAAATGCATGGAGATGTCTCAAAGATGTGGTAAGGCCCTATATCAAATGCAAGGATTATTATTATTAACATTGCGTAGGGATATGTGAGTGAGAATTCATGTGTAAAGTGTTGTAAAAGCCGAGTGTTTCACTAGTGTTTCTTGCTGTGTTTCTCCACAGTTCGAGGATGACCGCAGCATTTTAAACAGAAAGGTGGTTGGAGTTATAGTGGGAAACACAAGCATTGAAAACATCACAGAGCCGGTGACTATTAACATCGAACATGATGAAACACTGCAGGTAAGGAATTCCTCAATGACTTCCACATTCATTTCTGATCCAACGAGCTCCACCAGATTACTACACCCTTGCACAGCCATACTATCTAAATACTGCTTTTCATTACAGGACAATTCATTCCATCAGTGTGTCTTCTGGCTTGATGTCGACGACGGTAAATAATAAAAAAAAACTTGGCAAGACATTTCAGATTGTATTGAAAAAGACATTGAATGGATAACTTTTAGGCAAACTTGTGTTACAGAAAGTACACCAGGTCACTGGGATCCTGCTGGTTGTCAAACAGAAACTCGGAATAATCAAACTATTTGCTATTGCCACCACTTGTCTTTCTTCGCTGTGTTACTGGTATGTGTTACACATGTAATAACAAAGAATGGAATCATAGAATCATAGATTTGTTCAGCACAAAAAGAGGCCATTCGGCCCATCGAGTTTGTGCCGGCTCTTTGAGAAGTGCAATGTAATGTTCATCCCACTCCCCAGCCCTTTCCCCATAACCCTGCAAACCCATCCTCCTCAAATACCCATCCACCGCATTTTTAAAAGTAGTTATTAAATCGGCCTCGACCACCCTTTCAGGCAATGCGTTCCAGATTCGAACAACTCTCTGTGTGAAAAAAATTCTTCTCACCTCCCCTCGGCTTCTTTTAGACACTATTTTGAATCTGTGACCTCAAGTCACCAACACACCCACCAGTGGAAACAGTTTTTCCCTTTCTAACCTATCAAATCCCCTCAGGATTTTGAAGACCTCTATTAGGTCTCCTCGTAACCTTCTCTGCTCCAATGAGAATAATCCCGGCTTCTCTCGCCTTTCCTCATAATCAAGATCCATCATTCCTGGTACCATCCTCGTAAACCTCCTCTGCACCCTTTCCAATGCCTTAACATCCTTCCTATAGTGTGGTGCCCAGAACTGGGCGCAGTATTCTAACTGAGGCCTAACCAGTGTTTTATATAGGTTAATCATAACCTCCTGACTCTTGTACTCTCTGCCCTTATTTATAAAGCCTAGAATCCCATTTGCCCTTTTTACAGCTTTTTTCTACCTGTCCTGCCACCTTCAAGGATTCATTTACCTGCACCCCCAGGTCTCTCTGTTCTTTTACCCCCTTTAAGATTGTATTACCAGCCTATATGCTTCGTGACCACATCACTCCCACCCTCGCTCGCCTCCACTGGCTCCCCATCCCCCAGAGGATCGAATTCAAGATCCTCATCCTCACCTACAAGGCCATTCACGGCCTTGCTCCCTCCTACCTCTCTGACCTACTATCCTCCTACCTACCTGCCCGTACCCTCCGTTCCTCTGGCTCCGGTCTGCTCCACATCCCCCGCCCCAACCGCCCTACCATCGGTGGCCGGGCCTTCAGCCCCGAGGCTCTGGAACTCTATCCCCCAGTGCCTTCGCCGCTTCCTTCCTTTCCTCCTTCAAGGCCGGTCTCAAGACCTTTCTCTTTGACCGTGCCTTCAGCTCCCCTCTCAACTCTCTACCCCCTCCTCGCTCCCTTCCCTGCCCTCACCATTTCCCCCCAATGCTCGGGTCCTGACCCTACTGTACAGCGCCTTGGGACGTCCTCCCGACGTGAAAGGTGCTTTATAAATGGAATCTTGTTGTTGTTATTGTTGTTGTATATTGCCTCCCCTCATTCTTTCTACCAAAATGCATTACCTCACATTTCTCCACATTGAAATTCATCTGCCATGTGTCTACCCATTTTACCATTCTGTCTATGTCTTCCTGCAGTTGGCTACTATCCTGCTCACTGTTTACCACCCTACCTAACTTGTGAACATTTGAGATGTTGTACCTTCCTCGAGCTGATACAGGGATTCTTTTAGCTCCAGCATTCCAATTCTGACTCTGATCTTCTCTCCTGAAGGATTTTCAAAGAAAGGACATGGCTTTGCATGAGGAGGTGCTGGTATCGCTGACGTACATCACCCAGATTGGCTGTGGCATTTCTGCTATCTTCTCAGCCCTCAATGTAATTCTATACTTTGTGTACAGGTAGGAAGTTCTTTAAACCGTGTTCCTGAGGGTACGTGTGTCCTGCATAAGCCCTTCGAAGGGAGAGAAAGATGCATCTTTCTCTCTCCGACGCTGATTCATTTGCCATTATGTCAGTTCCATATGTAGTTTGTGTTGAATTAAGATAAGAAAATGACACCAGGGCTAAAAAGGACAGGTTTTAAAACCAGTCTGTTTTCATTGGAACAGAGAAGGTTCAAATGCATCCAGTAGAGGTCTTCAAAATGCTAAGAAAGATCACACAAACGATTGAAGAGAAACAATATACAACAACAACGTAACTACATTTGTACAGTGCTTTTCAGGTTGGGAGCATGTCCCAAGGCGCTGGGTAATTTGGGTATTAGGATAATATAAAATGTTTTGCCTCTGTGCTATAATTTCTATGACTCTATGAGTACAATACACACACATACACAGTGGAAGCTGATTGCAAATTTTGTGGCCAAATGATCTAATGAACTCACTAGCTCCAGGAATTATGGAAATAGTGACCAATGAATTGCTTCCCTTGCTACAGAAAAGGGGAAATGTACAGAAAATATTTTTCCAAGCAGCAAGAAGAAACACAGAATGGTATATATCAACCACAAAATCACATTTATATTGCGCCTTTCACGTCAGGAGGATGTCCCAAGGCGCTGGACAGACAGAGTTTTGGACCCGAGCTGAAGTTTGGGGTGGGGGAGGGTGGAGGGCAGAGGGGGAAGCAGTGAGAATGAAAGCACGATCAAAGAGGAGGGTCTTGAGGTGGGTCTTGAAGGTGGAGATTTTGATTTTGCTCAAAATACAAACTAAAATTTGTAAAGCGCCTTTCAGCTAATATCATACACTTCCTTCAGAATTTAAAACAGTTTCAATGTTGTATTCCTTTAAGAAATTTCAAAAGTGATCATGCTACCGTGATCCACATCAATCTCAGCGCAGCTTTATTTCTGCTGAATATGACCTTCATGATCAACGTGTGGGCTACTTCCTCCAGCTCTGATGGTGTGTGTAAGCTCTTGGCTGTGTGTATGCATTACTCATTGCTCTGCAGTTTTACATGGATGGCAATTGAAGCTTTTCACCTGTACATCATGCTGATCAAAGTCTTCAACAGCTACATAAGAGGCTACATTCTGAAATTGGCCCTTGTTGGCTGGGGTAAGTGAGAGATATTCTCCAGTTTGCCGTTTGATCTTTGACTGTGTTGTGGCTACATGTACTAACTACAAGGACAAAGGTCATCTAAGCTGATAAAGGACAGTCAATTCACTTTACAGTGTGTTCTGTGAAGCGCTTTGGGACGTCCTCCCAACGTGAAAAGCGCTATATCAAATGCAAGGATTATTATTATTATTAAAGCCCACTCCTGCCATCTTCCCTAAAAACCTACCCTACCATTGGCTTCACCCCACTCATTGCAGTTTTTGTGGAATAGTTTTATATAGATGCTTCCTGAACCTCATAGGTAATCAATCAAATGCTTCAGACGATGATCTCTCCCCATAGCAGCCTGATTCAGTTTGTAGTGCTCTTGCCTCCGAGGCAGAAGGATTCATGTCCCAGTGTCTCGTATAGTCCAGGCTGATGCTCCAAAACTGTGCTGGGGAGTGTTGTGTTGCTGGAGGTACCATCCTTTAGATGAGATATTAAACTGAGGATCTCATCTTCCTGTTCGGGGGACATTAAAAATTGCCTGGCACTATTTGAAAAGAGAAGGGAGTTTCTCCTGGTTTCCTGGCCAACAATCCCTTGGGAAACAATGATCATTTATTTCATAGTTTTTATGGGACATTGCTAAATGCAAACTGGCTGCTGCATTTGCATATGATCTATAATCAGGACACTTCATGTAAATCCTGTGAAGCGCTTTGTCCACCTAACATGAAGAGACTACATCAAATGCAAGGAATGATTTTATATCTCTATCTTGCACACAGTAGCAGAATTCAACACATTGTATTCATTCATTTGCAGCCTTATAATAATAAATAAGAATGATGCTTGATTTTTTTGATTTTTTATGCTTGCTTTTTTATTTACACCTTATGTTTCAACAAGCACAATGAGTTTCTTTGAAGTGTGGTGACTGTCGTACAGTGTAGGTAAATGTGGCAACTAATCTACACCAGCAGAGATTCAGCAAACAGCAATAAGTGAAGTGTAAGCATGGATATTTGTTCAACGGAAATCATTTTGTTTCATCGACAGCCATGCCTGCTGTAGTGGTGATTTTGTGTGTTTCAACAAAAAAAGACAACTATGGCCAGTATGTGATTCAGAGTCAGAACAATTCTAGCTCTACCTCAGTGTAAGTTCATAATAATAAGTGAAATAAGAAATAATAATAGTTTCTGGGAAAACTATGGGAAAAGAATGCTGGGTGGTTGTGACTCTTGCGGTGTTTCATTAGAAATTCAATGGGGAGACAACATGAGTAGCACTAGTATTATAATGTAATAATAATAATAACGGTAATAATAATAGCAATAATAATAGTAATTTAATGACTATATGTTACTGTACTTTTTCTTCTGGCTCCATTAGTGATTGGTACTGACACTGTTTCAATATAAAGCACAATCCAAATGTTGAGTATAACTATGGTCATTGTTCCTCTGGACTTTCCTTTCTTAAACACTGTCCAGTGCTTTGGGACGTCCTCCTGACGTGAAAGGTGCTATAAAATTTAATTTTGTTGTTGTTACTCCCCCTGAGCTCATTCACACTGTCCGATGCACTCTTGCGCCACAATGAAGGCTCCTCAAACTGCCTCCTTTTCACAAGATTGGTTTCGATGAAGGAAGTTATCCTTCCAGAACACCCATCCTGCCGTTCTCCTACCACATCAGGCTGCTTTATAGGATCTCAAAGCTGCCTCCCTGAGGCTAAACTTCCTCCTACAAATTATACGGTTTTAAAACCCGAGCTTGATGTTCTCCCATAACCTTGATTTATCCGTTGTCCTCTGCTACTATTTTCAATCTTGGTGCTGTAGTTACCTGTGAGGTGGAAACCTTCACTATTTTGCTCAATAAAATTGGTGCATTGCTTGCCGAATAACATCATGTGTGAGGAGGGTAGATTTGTCCCCACTCCACCTGCTATTTCATAGACAAATGGAGTTTTTCACCCTGTTCTCCTGTCCTATATTCCTATCCTCATCAAAATTTAAGCCCAAATTCAAATTAAATTGGCCATTCATCTCATTGTTGTTTTTAAGATGTTCTTCGTGCAGTTTGGCATGAACTGAAAATGTTCTTGGTCCAGTTTGACGCATCTTGTCTTTTTTCAACAGGTGCTGGATAACAACGAACATTGTCCATTATGTTACAAACGGTGCTTATTTTACAGTCATATGGCTGTGCAATACAATAATATTCGTTACTGTGTGCATCATGTTGGTTCAAATGAAAAATGTTCAACGCAACTGGAATGAGAAAGGGAATGCTTGGAAGGATATATGGCTAACTTTGGGTCTATCTTGCTTGCTCGGCACCACATGGGCTCTGGCTTTCTTGCAATTTGGCCCTCTGCACATAGCTACCCTGTACCTGTTCACCATCTTCAACTCCTTACAAGGTTAGTCAATGCAGCAGTAACATCAAATCTAGTGTGTTTAATGCGTCTAGAAATATTGTTTATCATAATGTAATTATAATAATCGGAAGGTTCCTGCCAATCCCTTCAGTTCACAGTGCATTCAGCCATTATAATAATTATCCTTGCAGGTGATATAGCGATAGCATCTTCGAGACCACTCAAAGCCCTTCACAGAATATACTGCAAAGTGAATTGACTATATAATTTGTGGGCAAAATGCGGCAGTCAATTGCACATAGCAGTGTCCCACAAACAGTCATGGAGTGGATTGAGTGACCAAATTATTATTATTTTTTATTTATCTTTTGGAGGGATTATTACCCAGGGAAAAGCGATCCGACTATCGACTAACAACCGGGTTCCTACTTACTGTCTCGTAATGTAGGCTTACACTTTAAGCATTAAAGGAACTTTCCATTGTGGGAGGTGCTGTCCTTCAGATGAGATATGAAACCAAGGTGGTTTATGTGGATACTAGTTGTACCTGTTGCAGCTACGCTTGCAACCAAAGGATCCAATATGGAAGGTAGATTGATACACGGACAGACACATGGATAGAAATTTCATCTTTATACTCATCTGGGAAGACTCCTGTGTGAAGACTCCTTTCGGGAGGACTCAGTGAGAGGACTCTGTGCTTTGAAAGTATAATTTTGTTGTTGTTGCTGCGGCTTAGCTTTGTTTGTGTTCTTTATTTTGTTCCTGCTCCTTGACTACGTGGGTGCTCTGTGATGTTGGGTGCCACAGCACCATGGTCAGCCGGCGCGGCCACTAGGAGTAACTGCAGTGTGTGCGTACATACGTAGGTGCTCTGTGATGCACGATGCCACAGCACCTCTTTGACTTGGCAGCCACCAGGTATAACTGCAGCAAAACACGCAAACCTGAAAGTAACTCATAATAGGAGATACCAAAAACAAATATACCCATGTCACTCCCAGTGGCAATACCTTTCTGATGAGGTATAAATCATGTCTCTATGTCAATCGATTATTGAGATTCTTCTTGAAGCGCAGACAGACTGTTTTATTAGTATAGATTAAGGATCCCGTGACTACTTTTTGCAAGTGTAGATTATTTGCTGTACTTGGCTACATAACAACACTAACTGCAGCCATTCAACCAATATAAGTTCATAGGCCATGGCAATAGGTCAAGAGGTCCCAAGTACAGGAATTTTGAAGGTTACGTTTAGGACAGTCATCAGAAAGTATTTCTTTACACAGAAAGGAACCAACAACTATCATGGGTTAGCAGGAAAAGTGGTCCAGGCCAGGATCATGGACTCGTTTAAGAAGCAGCTTGTTACTGTAATAGGAAAATCATAGGATGGGTATTATTATTAAGAATATTTATTGCATTTAATGTAGCGCCTATCATATTGGAGATTCTCAAAGCACTTCAAAGGCAATTACAGTCAAGCATAATAACCATATTTGTAAGCATATAATAATATAATCTATTTATAATGTGTGCATGTATATTGATGATATATCTAATGTATGCAATGTCTATATTTGGAATGCTTTTTGGGAGTAATAATCACTTAAAAAAAATAATTTGGTCATTCAATCCACGATTGTTTGTGGGACACTGCTGTATGAAATTGGCTGCTAAGTTTCGCTCACAAAATACACAGTCGATCCACTTTACAGTAACTCCTGTGAAGCACTTTGAGACGTGTCGAAGATGTGATAAGGTGCTATATCAAATGCAAGGATTGTTATGCTATTATTATATAAGCAATTCTGGAAGGATGAGGTCAAATGGACCAAGGACATTCTTCATCCCAACCACTGTGGTGATCTTGTGAAGTCACTGCCTACAGATTAGTCCTAATTACTGCAATTGAAAGTGACCACATGTCAATTCTTTATCCTCCAGGTTTTTTCATATTCTTGTGGTACTGTGTTTTAAAACGGCCACCCAGACACCAAACCTCAAGCAGCACATCAGCAACATAGAGGAGGGCAGAGGGGAAAGTGACACCGTTCTACTCCGTTCACCACTGCAACCCATTTTATCAGCAAATTCTTCTCCAGATTGGAACAGCGTTTGTAAAATGCTTTATACTTGATCGAGTTCATTGTGATACATTGCATTATAATGACCCTTGGATTTGATTTAGCGCTTCATCAAGTCATCAAGTCATTGGGAGCACCTCATAGCACTTTGCTCTGACTTGTAACACCTGTGAGGAGCACCTCACAGCACGGAAACTGCTCTGGTTAAGGTCACCAACGACATCCTGACCATGCGTGACCAGGGCTCCCTCTGCCCCCTCGTACTCCTCGACCTCTCAGCTGCCTTTGACACCTTGGACCACTCAATCCTCCTCCACCGCCTCTCCTCCCACCTCTGCCTTCAAGGTTCTGTCCTTGACTGGTTCAGGTTCTACATTTCACACCACCTCCACTTCATTGGGGCAAACGGCTTCTCCTCCAGTACCTGCACCATCTTGTGCGGTGTTCCTCAGGGCTCTGTCCTCGGTCCCCTCCTCTTCACCCTCTACATGCTCCCCTTGGTGACATCATGGTGCCTTCCAGGCAGGGCGAAACCTTGGGCAAGTTTCCTTACTCCACACAGAGCCTAATAATAATCCCTCCAAAACCCAAAACAATAATAAAAAATTGGTCATTTTCAATCTTCGACTGTTTGTGGGACATTGCTGTGCGCAATTGGCTGCCGCGTTTGCCCACAAATATACAGTCAATTCACTTTACAGTGTACTCTGTGAAGCGCTTTGGGACGTCCTCCCGACGTGAAAAGCGCTATATCAAATGCAAGGATTATTATTATTATTATTATTATTATTATTATTATCTGCAGACATGGGGTAAATTTCCACATGTATGCGGATGACACCCAACCCTATCTCTCTGCCTCCACCCTGAACTCCAGGACTACTGGCGTCCTGACCGACTGCCTGTCCGAAATCAAGTCCTGGATGAAGGACAACTTTCTCAGCAAGACTGAGGCCCTCCTGATTGGCTCGCGCCAGCGCCTCCGCCCCTCGGGCACTGGCAGCATCAATCTCCACAGCTGCACACTCAAGCTTACTAAGCCAGTCAGGAACCTGGGGGTCTTGTTTGTCCCTGAACTGTCCTTTCTCCCCCACATCCGCACCATGACCAGCACTGCCTACCACCACCTCCGCAACATTGCCAGACTCTGCTGTTGCCTCACCCCTCAGGCTGCCGAGACCTTCACCCACACATTCGTCACATCAAGGCTCAATTGCAGGAACTCCCTCTTCATTGGCCTTTCCAATTCTTCCCTTCACAAGCTGCAGGTTATCCAAAACTCTCAGGCACCAGGCTCCATGACCTCATCACTCCCACCCTCGCCCGACTCCACTGGCTCCCCACCCCCCAGAGAATAAAGTTCAAGATCCTTGTCCTCACCTTTAAGGCCATCCATGACCTTGCCCCCTCCTAACTCTCTGACCTGCTGACTCCCTACCAACCTGACCGCTGCCTCCGTTCATCGGGCTCCGGCCTGCTCCATGTCTCCCGCCCGACCCGCCCTACCATCAGTGGCCGGGCTTTCAGCCTCTCTGCCCCCACACTCTGGAACTCCATCCCACGGTGCCTTCGCCTCGTTTCCTCCCTCGCCTCCTTCAAGGCTGGTCTCAAGACCCTTCTCTTCGATCGTGCCTTTGGTCGCCCTCCCATCTCTTACCCTTCCCTCACCCTTACATCAGCCCTCTGCCATGCTCAGGCCCCAACACCTGACTGTTCAACGCTTTGGAATGTCCTCCCGACGTGAAAGGCGCGCTATAAATGTAATTTTGTTGTTGTTGTTGTAGTGACTGTATTTGTAGGGGACTATGACTTTCAGCTAACCCTAGATTTGCATGAAAAACAGCAAATTGCATTTATATAGCACCTTTCGCACCACAAGATACTAGGAAGTCAAAGGTTTGCACCCAACCTGGGGATTGGAGACAAGAGGGGGTGGAATCCAGGGAGGGTGGGAGGATGTTATACCTATCAGGAAAGGTTGAACATGCGTGGCCTCTTTTCCCTTGAAAAGAGGAGGGTAAAGGGTGACCTGATAGAGGTCTTTCAAATGATGACAGGTTTTGATAGGGTAGACATAGGGTAGACATAGGGAAGATGTTTGGGGAGACCAAAACCAGGAGTCATCAATATAAAATAGTCACAAATAGATCAAATAGGGAGGTTAGAAGAAATTTATTTACACAGAGAGTAGTGGGAATGTGGAACATGCTACCACAAGGAACTATGAGCCAAATAGCATAGATGTATTTAAGAGGAAGCTAAACAGGTACATGAGGAAGAAAGGTTATGCTTGAAGGCTTAGTTGAGGAAGGGCAGGAGGAAGCTCATGTGGAGCATAAGCACCAGCAGAAACCAGTTGGACCGAATGGCCTGTTTCTGTGCTGTATACTTGAATGTATTCTAATGATCACTGAAGACACAGTCAAAGAGGAGGGTCTTGAGACTGGCCTCGAAGGAGGCAAGGGAGGAGCGAGGCAAAGGGACTGTGGGATGGAGTTCCAAAAGGTGGGGGCAGAAAGGCTAAAGGACCAAACACCAATGGTGGAGCAGGCAGGGCGAGGGATATGGAGCAGGTCAGTGCCCGGCAAGCAGAGGAAGCAGACAGTATGATAATGTTTCAGTAGGTTGCAGAGGTAGGAAGGAGGAAGACCGTGCAGTTTCCTAGAAGGAAACTTTACGTTTCACTAACGATATATATTTTCAAGAGATGTAGCTACGCAGATCTCATCTTTCCAGAATATCCACCCAACGGTCTTCCTTTTGCAACATCCAGTTGTTTTAATGAATCCGGTGACCTGACCTGTACCATGTAGCCTGGTAACCTGTTACAACTGTTAATTGTTCTCTGCGTTGAGAACCAGTCATGATGTGTTGTGAGTTAGAGGCAGAATTCCTTGTTGGGGGGGTGCTATCAGTGGATTGCTTTGCAACCAGCAGCATTTTCAATCCACTGTTACAGTCACTCGTTCTCTCCAGTCTCCCACACTCGCATTCCACCAAGGTTCCCAGCAAAAAGCTTTCAGCGCAAGTGGAGGACAAAACAACACTGATAATCAACACATTTTCTTCTGATTTCTTTTGTTGAACAGGTGTGAATGATGGCACAACATTATCTCATGTGTGAGTCCACTTGTTCATTTTGACTGCTTTCCACCTCCTACGCTAGCTCTGCAAAGCAGCAATTTAATTCTTTGCCCCTCATTTCAAGACATGGATATTTTTGTCCAGGTTATTCCCTTACACCTGATATAGCTGGTTAACCCAAGGCTCAGTCAACCTGATGTTTGCTTTAACATTTCCTTTATGTTTGTGAATAAAGTTCTACGAATCGAAAGATTATGCTTACTGACTGAAATTTAAAAAATATAAAATCAAAACACGTCTGTTTGTCTGTGATTATTTAACCAAAGTGAAGAAAGAGCAGTAAGAGAGAGAATGAGAGAGAGAAAGGTCTTAAGATTGTTAGGTCGGGGAGACTGCAGCAGATTAGCTATTGGCAAGATCGCAAGAGAGGTTTGGATGAATAAACCCTATCAGCCCATTTGGCCTTATTCTTAAAAAATACCCACCTTACTATCCTCTTAACACAGTATTGAGCTGCTTATTTTAAATGAGCTTCTGGCCTCAACCACCCTTCCTGGCAATTTATTCACATAAGATGTGCTGCATGTGAACTGCAATGGTGGAGGACTTGACTTTGACAGAATCAGATGCTGAGCAAGATGGCGGGCTGGGGAGAGTAGGGGAGGGACCGTAAGTAGGTATATTTTAAGGTGGAATTTAAAGACATATATTGAGGGGATGAGGCAGAGGGAAAGAGCAAGGGTACTGCTGAGGTTAGCTGTGTAATAATTTGGATCTGCTACCAGGCTATGGGAAAGAGCGGGGGAGTGGGACAAGTTGGTAGCTCTTTCAAAGAGCCGGGACAGGAACGATAGGCCGAATGGCCTCCTTTTGTGCTATAAAATTCTATGATTCTATGAAAGGTGATTAAGGCTGGGATGCGTGACTCATTTAAAGAATCGCTCAAACTGGAAGGGGAAGTCAGATGAGTGGGTGTTCTGGAAGGATGAGATCAAATGGGCCAAACGGCTTTCTTCATCCCAACCAATCTTGAGATATGTTGCACATCGTACTGCCACCTGTCCAGTCCTCCCTACCTCAGAGGTCTGTTTTTCAACAGCCGTCCCCTTTTTTTTAATAATCCCAAGTCTTGAACCGAAATTATTATTTTATTCAAATCTACAGTATCTTAGAGACTGCAGGTCCCAGGATTCATTTAAAGATATCCAGCAGGTCCTGCCTGCCAATCATCTGCAAGCATGACACCAGTATGGCCCGAGTGGCTTTCTTGCCCTGATGCTGCTGCCACATTTGAACTGTCTGATACCCCTTCTCGACCAGCCCGTCCTGTTCGTAATTGTAATCAATCATTTCGATATCGACCTCGGTCAAACTCAGGTGTCTGGCTAAGGACTTCCAGTTTTTACCGAGCGACTCGGCCAATTCCAATGATTCAAGCGAAGTAATCATGACGTCAGGGCCTGGAAGCAGTTTGGAAGGATTAAATGTAACACAAACCAGTGCAACACATACATTGCCATAGATTTTTGACATTATCTAATTCCTGCACGTTCTCTCCACAGAAATTCAGGGAGAAAGTTTTAATGGATTACACGACAACAACGACTTGTATTTTTATACCTTCTTTCACGTTCGGGAGGATGTCCCAACAGGCAATTATAGCCCGAAAGTGGGGGAAGGTAGACCGACAAGGAAGAAGGAGGGAGGGAGAAACAGACTGTGCAGTGACATTGCTATGGAGAAGTGTGAGGTTCAATATGTACTCAAAGATTTTGAGTTTGGAAAGTGCCAGTTGTGTATAGCAAGGTCACTCACCTTGTAAGGTTTCCTTTCGCCTGACGTCAGGAATTAATTCTGTTAGGGGGAATAAATATTGAGCAGTTTAGTGTAGATTACCTCGTGTAGTGCCTTCCATCTCGGCCAGATCACACATCTCTGGGCCAAAGAGGATGAGGCACTTCCAGACCACAAACAGTGCTATTCCTAACCAACTACATGGGAGAACATAGAAACAGTCTCTTCCTCTTATTTTGTATTCCCTCTTTCCACCCACACTACTCCCCTTCCCTGGTCTCTGCTGACCACCTTTCTCTGCACTTTACAGTATATTCTGTTTGTGGGACACTGCTGTGCACAATTGCCTGCCGTGTTTCACCCACACAATATACGGGCGATTCACTTTACACTCTGTTCTGTGAAGCGCTTTGAGACGTGTCAACGATGTGAGAAGGTGCTCTATGAAATGCAATAACTATAAATAAATAATCCTTGAATTTGATATAGAGCCTTATCACGTCTTTGAGACGTCTTAATGTGCTTCACAGAATATTATTATTCTGTAATGATTATTATTTCTATAGCCACACACCATAGAATGGGGAAAGGGGAAGTAGCATTGATTTGTGTGACAGCTCACTAGAGGACAGTTAGCTGCAGAGATCCAATGTCAACACTGCTTTATGACAGGAGCCAGGTCTGGGCACAATATCAGAGGAAATCCAAATGGAAAAAGCCTTTGGCTCACTTGGTTTCATCTTTCCAGAATACCCATTTGTGTTCTTCCTATTACACCATCAAGATGTTTCTTAACCAATGTCCTGCCTTCTACCAGCTGCTCCTCTCGCCACCCACCTCTTCCCCCGAACAAGACTGTAAGAGAAATGATTGCTCTAAAACTCACCCAGACTCTTTCTGCGGGTTTCCTGAACAGGTTCTGTTTCAGTGTAAAAAAATATAGAAAGTATTAAGTTAAAAATGTGAATGTTGATCTTCATCAGATTCCCAGCGTGAAAATACACAGAACCTTTGCCCTGTTCCTAGCTCAGAGAGGGTTGATGCAAACTGCAGGCTGGCAAGTTTGGTCACAGTAAAAGGTAACTGAAGGTTCAATCCTGAAGCTTTCCTTATTTGTAGATATGATCCAACATATGATGCACCTATCCCTAGGGGAAGTTCTTTCATCTCATTCTTAACATGACATTGGTGTTGTGAAGATCTGGCTAGCTGACTGATGGAAAATGGTGTCTCTTTCATGCCTCGGGGTTTGAATGAACTGGGGCACAGAGGAAAGAGATCATTGGGTCTCGTTCACCTTGCTTAATGGTAATAGTTAGGCTCACTGTCCTTGTTTGAGCTCAGTCAGGTCACTTATTGCATTATTGGATTGAGCGACCAAATTATTACCCGGAAAAGCGATCCACCAATCGACTAACAACCGGGTTCCTACTTACTGCTAAGTGAACAGAGGCGTGCAGAGTAAGGAAACTTGCTCAAAGTTTGGCCCTGCCAGGAATCGAACCCAGGTCCTCTTGCTTGCGAGGCAAGTGCTCTAACCACTAAGCAACAATCTTGAACAATCTTTGAAAGTTTGACTACGTTTCGTTATGTGTAATTTCAAACAATGGTCTAACATCCCCACCTAGTGGTTATTAATTAGGATTGGGTTTATATTAACAAGACAAGAGGTTGTGATTAAATCCCTACACTCTTTGGGTTACCCAATCAATACAGTAGCATCTTCAAATCCAAACTCCAGAGAAGAGATTCCACCCTCAAGATCTGGCATTCAGAAATGGTGTGAGCTCTCCGTAACTGGAAGTGAAGACACTTAAATACAGCGAGACCTGGAATTCAACCACTTTTTTTTAAAAAACGTGTGCGAAATTGGCCATTCAGCCCCAGAAACCAGGTGTTTGGTCCATAATGGACCTGTGTTCTAAGCAAGGCAGCGTTATACGCAGGGTTTTGCAATAAGATTTTCCTTTACTTAAAAGTTTGCCAAATTCTGCAATGCTCTCAAATTCAAGTAACTTCAGATCTGGGTGGACTTTCTTCTCCTGGGAAGGGAAGAGGAAAGATGGGAAGGAAGCAGTGCTGAAAGTTATTACTTCTTAGCTTGCTGATGCTCTCCTTGCTCTCCGTAAGGCTTCCCGGCTCTTCTGGACATGGATCTGCATCCACACAACACATGTCCTGCACAGAGAAAAACATCCAGAAGTGAGAGGCACTGTCAACGGGAGATTCCAATACCTGGCTGTAAAACAGAATCGTAGCATCATACAGTACAGAAAGAGGCCATTCGGCCCAGCATGCCTGTGTAAGCTCTTTGAAAGATGTAGCAACTAGTCCTACTCTTACACCATAGCCCTGAAATTTTTTCCTTTTCAAGTACCTATCCAATTCCCTTTTGAAACCTACTATCAAATCTACTTCCACCATTATTTCAGGCAGTGCATTCCAGACCATAATAACTCTGTTATAGGGAAAATAGCCTGAGGTGAGGTTACTCTATGGTCCAGGATTTTATTCCCTTAAAGAGCAAAAGAACATGTTTCTCCACACCCAAGTGCATAACCAATCCATGCAGAACTAAAGGGATAAAATGGGATCATTTGAGCTTCTGTCAGTGGTAAGGAATCGAAATGGCCAGTTTGCAAACAGGCTCATTTTATCTTGCCATCACTCCAGACAGGAAGCCAAAATATAAATGATGTAACAAAATCACAAACTCTCTAGTGATATGGAGCCTCTATAGCCTCGAAAGAGCCTATAGTTTGTAATAATAATCCTTGCATCTAACATTTCTTCCGTGTTTATGGTCATCCCCTCTCTCTTCCCCCCGGCTGGGCATTTATATAGCATTCTGAGATGCTGCCCTGCGCTGTATAATTGCAAGTTGTTGTTGACATAGGGTCGAATCAGGTTGCCCGGACATCTCAAAGAGGTATTACTTTAAAGTATAGTAACTGTATTTTGTAGGCAAACGTGTCGGTCAATTTACGTGCAGCACTGTCCAATTTTAGAGCTGTGTGTCGGTGTAGACTATACCTCTTGTGTAAGCGATTGGATTGCAGCCCGCACATCCCTGTCACTTGGTTGCGTGGGTTTGAGGTATCTGATGCAGTCTGTCATGCAAAAATGAAACAATGGAATATGTAAATACACAGATTCTTCTCATGCCTCAGTCTATTCTGCAACAACACTGCTTCATAGATACTCCTAATAGATTTGTATCTGGTGAATCAAATTGTGACAAACATTGGGCTAGATCTCTTTTCTTATTGTTGAGGCACTTGTGTGAGCGGCCCATACGGTAGGTCGATAATAACAGTTGCATTTGATATGGCACCTAATCAAGTCATCAAAACATTGAAACAATGTCCCACAGACAGCCATGAAATGAATGACCAATTTTTATTTGGAGGATTGTTGGCTAAGACACCAGGAAAAACTCCTCCCTTTCAAACTGTGCTAACGTCTACCTGAACAGGCACGCACATGACCTTTATTTAATGTCTCATCTGAAGAACAGCATCTCCGACACTGCAGTGTCAGTCAGCCTAGTCTGTGAGTTCAAAGTCCTTGACTTGGATCTTCAGACTTTGAGTGTAACTAAATGAGTCAGACTGAAACCTACAAGGAAAGGATGGAAAACAAAATAGGTGGAGAAGTCATTGCCAAGCTTGGGTTCTAAAGCCAGGTTATAGGCTTTAAAGGTCTTTATACACCTCTTGACTGGGAGAGACCAAATCTCCAAGGCTAAAGCACCCACTGTCATGCTTTGCACTTCATAATGCCAAGCCATGAAGGAGTCACCCATTCGTCTCTCAGCTGATGATGGTGAGGGGGTTTGGGAAGCCATTGCCAATCAATCAGAGCACCATTCATTATTTACAAGCTGACCATGAAAAAGTGAAACTGCCGAGTGGAACTGTGCTCACACGCAGAACTCCACTCAGTTCCAGTCAATGCAATTAGGATGATATAACTTTGCTTCCTGCACTCTCAATTGCTTTAGTCCTGCAAACAATATCACTATAAACCAGGCAATAGATCAGACAGACATTAATAACGTCCTATTTAAAAGGATCACAGAGAGGGGACATACATAATGGGAGAGAGATATAATAATAATAATACTAATAATAATGCTACTACTACTACTAATAATAATAATCCTTGCATCTGAGCTGACATAGCCGAGGTTGATAGATTTACAAACCAGCAGAAAATAAGCCATGCAATATGGGTCTGTAAGTGTGACCCATTGTAGCGATTCATCAAAGAACCGTCTCACTTGCCATTCCTGCGATACAGCTGCAGTGTCTCAAAGCACTTCACACAAGAAGGACAAGTGTAGTGACCAAAAGCTGTACATCCCCTACTTGAGCTTACTCTCATAGTTTTTGCGATACTTTGAACTTGTTGTCTAAATGTTACAGCCATGTATCACCTTCCCAGGTACCTCTGCATTCTCACAAAGTGCTGAATAGCTACAACAAACTTTTAAAATATACCTGCAAAGGACGGCCGTTCTCCAGGGATTTGGTGCCAGCATCTCTCCATTAGAGAAACAAGATGATGAACTGAAGGTTTATTTTTAGGGATTGCTTTAATATCTGGTCTTTGACCTCGTTTCACACCAAGGGATACAGCATCGGAACCCACAGCATCTGGCAAGCAATATAAATGAAAACAAGACACAGATCAATATATAGGAAGAAAAGAGGACAACACTGTGAATACCATCATGAAAGCTAACACAGTATATTCCTTGTTCGGATTGAAAGACTTGCTCTGCCAGCCCTGATATTGGATGAGATATTGGCTCTTCAAACATTCCTAATGGATAAATAAGCCGTAAATGTAGAATCTTTTCAATCAGGCTGCAAGGCAGAACATGCTTGCCAGACAATGATATCAATGGTAAGCTATGTGGTTTTAGCTGGTTAGACTCCAGCAGTTACTGCAACGCACACTCTGGGGTCCCCAAGTCTTGGTTCTTGTTAACCTGCGCCTAGTATTTTCCCTAATCGGGTAAGCAGGATGTGTCCCTCCAGGCATTCCACTCCAACAATCTCTCTCTGGAATTTCCATGTGCAGGTGGGATGCATGGAAACCTCAGTTTGGTTTGAATACTCTAAAACATGGCGATGGGTTCCTGCGATGCGTCAGACTCCCGGCTGACCCCTGCCCCCAAAATGGAGAGGGACAATAGATCTCAGGAAAAATTGGATAAGACTTGCTGGAAACAATAGAATGGATGAAGATGGAATCCGTGATCGCCAAACAAATAAATCAAGAACCCATGAGATTTAATTAGAATATTGATAAAATATGTTCATTTATTTCCCTGGATGGACAACCGGATAAAAGCTCCACCACCGAGTAGGTAAAGGCAGCCATACAGACCAGAAGGTTGTAGATTCAAATCTTGGAATAGGCTGAGATTCCTGATCTCAATTTGGTATAGCAGTTGAGATTCTATAATTGGCTTCTCTGTCCCTGGATTAAGGAGAAGCCAATTAAGATGTTTTTTTGTCTTCTGATTGCTATCTGAGGACCCTCTGCTTGAAGGTGCTTGTGAGTGGATGTCAGATGAAGACATCTCAATGCGCTGCAAAGAATATTTAATATCATTTAAATACAAAATCAATCTTCACAGAATGACCTGAATCAGAAATGATGATGAAGGGCCAGACATCCAGCAAAGAACGTATAAGATTTCATAGAAGACTATGAAAGAGTGGGAGGCCATTCCATCTATTGTGTGAGTTCCATGTAGGGCATTAATATATAATGGAAAGAATAACGTCCATCAGCTATTGGAAGTACGTATATTTGTGGCACTTACGTTCATAAGGTTTTCGCTCGGTCATTATCTCCCACATGACAATAGCAAAGCTATAAGATTACAAATAGGAAAAGGTTATTGATGATGCATTCAAAGTTGCAAGGATTGATACTGTCACATGCTGTTATTTTGACTCCTATAAAATAAGCAGACTTGGTCATACAATCAAATAACACACAGTATTATAATTACAACATGCGTGGTTAGTGTCTAAGAATCTGTTGGGTAGATATTCATTGCCTCTGTTGTGAATAGGTTATTCCTTGAACCATTGGTTAATTTAATGTCCAAGAGAATGATTCATAGCCTCTCCTGGACATGTTAGCCTCTCCTGGAAATCTTTTTGGGCAAACTATTCAGCATTGGTTGGGAGACAAGCCTGCTCTGTTTTCACATTAATAACCCTGATATGTCCTCACATGACAACCACAAACGTATATATAATATATATATATTATATCAATGAGTATTAGATAGCAGTCAGTGGTGGGAACCCTGACTTGATATTTTTCCCCTTCCTAACCCAGGGCACTGAAACCAATTGTAGTGCATCTACCATTGCAGTAGCTCAAATCCATTCAATATAGCATGCACCCGAGCCCTTCTGTATGGTTTGTTTGCTCAAATTAGGAAACATTACAAAGGCGTTGATAATATTAATAAATCCTTGCATTTGATATAGCGCTTTTCACGTCTTCTCGACGTCTCAAAGCGCTTCACAGAATATGCTGTAAAGTGAATTGACTGTATATTTTGTGGGTGAAACGCGGCAGCCAATTGCGCACAGCAGTGTCTCACAAAAAGTCGTGGATTGAAATGACCAATTTATTATTATTTTTTCTTGAGGGATTATTATTAGGCGTGTGGAGTAAGGAAACTTGCCCCAGGTTTCGCCCGCCTGGAATTGAACCCAGGTGTCTCGCTTGCAAGGCAAGTGCTCTAACCACTGATATTTGGTGGACTAAAGGAATGCGATAATGTTATGTGATTTCTCTCATTTTAACGTTCAGTACACATTGGCCATTCAATTCCCTGGAATCAACTGGTGTTTGAAAAAGATATAGTCTGCAACATCGCAAATACATTTAGTCCTCTTCTGAGATGATGCTGCTCTCAGCTCACCAAGACAGGACACTGAGTGACATCTCCCACAATTCTACTGCCAAATTGCAACTTGGTTTACATGTGTTTCCTTTCAACAACACAGACTGTCCGGTGTCCCACACATTCTGTCCTGTGTTGCACACACACTGTTGCTATTTGCCACAGGGAATTGAACCATGTTAGTTATAAATGGTGTTGGACTGTTGGGTCACTATCCAATTATGCATGAAATTCATACAGAATTGTATCCCTGCTACTGAGCACACTAAATTGTATTTTTAGTAAAAGAAGTTTGTCTTAAAATTGTTTTAATCCAATTGTCTTAAAAGCAGCTTGCATTTATCTAGCGCCCTTCACCCTGGACAGCATTGCGGAGCACTTAACAGTGGCGGAGCCTGATGCCAAGCCAGGGGGAGGTGGAAGGTGACCGTAGATACAGTTGAAGAAGGAGGTCTTCAAGTGCAAGCTGAAAATGGGGAGAGGAGGTAAGGCGAAGGGATTGACGGAGAGAGTTCCACAGCTTTGGGGTGTAGTGTCTCCACCCACCCCCATAAATACTGCTACAGTATGGCAGTATGGCTTTGGCCTGATGACGATGGGTTCAGGATGTTTTCCCTTACAGAATCAAGTGGTTTCCTAAATGAGTCACTATCCTGACCTCAAACATCCTGGTAATTCTTTCCAGCAGACGATTATCTTTCGTGTAAAGTGATACTATGCAGTGCCGCTGCTAAAATTGTCCCCAGCACAACCAGGAAGCTGCACTCACTCTGCCAGTGCCTGAGTATCCCACTTATGGTGCAGTGAAAATTTTTGAAGCTTCTATAACATTCATTGTTCCATTAAAGTAAAGCTACACATAAGAATATTGAGAAACATCATAACAATCCTGCAGCCGTGGTAAGATCGGTTTTATCTTGCTTTGTTGCTCACCTGTACACATCAATCTTTACGTCTGCTCTAGTGTTGATGTTCTTCAAGTACTCGGGTGCTATATAGTTAAGGGTGCCTCCTTTATTTTCCTTCGAGCTGTACTGTTGAGTAATCCTCCGCCATTCCGCCATGCCAAAGTCTGCAATCTGGGAACAAAAAAAGGTGCCACAAACCTGAATGCAAAATTTGATACCTGGAGCAGAACAAGTCTCCAGGTATCTGAGATTCAAGAGTGAAGGGTGAAGTTTCACCTTGTACTCCATTTACCTTGACATGATAATCCTTATTCAGCAGAATATTTGCTGGCTTCAGATCGCAGTGAAGAAGCGGTGGGTTCAGGTGATGCAGGTAGTTCATTCCCAAAGCAATCTCGTAAACAAAGCGAAGTCGAAGAGCCCAGGGGACGCCTGACCGTTGAATGAACCTATCCAATGACCCGTTCTCCGCTAATTCAGTTACAATTCCCAGTGACGAAAGTCCATTCTCCAGGTGACGCTCACTTACCCCGTACAGCCTTAGAACATATTCAAACTGTGCCTTGTGCAATTTATTCGCCTCCTTTAACATTGCGCTCTTGTCACTAAAAGGAGAAACAAGTTGTCATCCAGAGAGCACAGTAACACGATGTCATATTCTTATCGAACCACAAATGAAAAAGGTGCTACTGCCCGCTGCCTGACCGAATACCTCCTTTTAGTGCCTTGGGACGTCCTCCCGACGTGAAAGGCGCTTTACAAATGTAATTTTGCCGTTGTTGTGGCATGCTCCTGACACAGGCTAGGCCCAAAGATCAGGCGTTTGGGTAATCTGCGCCGTCCGGTCATGGATTGAAGTGATCCGAGATACTAACAACAACAAGATTACATTTGTATAGTGCTTTTCACATCGGGAGAACGTCTCAAGGTGCTGGACAGCATTTCAGACCCGAGCTGGGGTCGGGGGGGGAGGGAGAAGGGAGGGAAGGGGAAGTGGCCGATGGCATGGTGGAAGAGGAGGGTTTTGAGGCGGGACTTGAAGGAGGCTAAGGAGGGGGCGAGGCAGAGTGACTGGGGCATGGAATTCCAGAGGTTGGGGGCAGAGTGGCTGAAGGCTCTCCTGTCAATCGTGGGGTGGGTGGGTCAGGGGACATGGAGTAGGCCAGAGCCGGCTGTATACATGCAAACTGTTGTAGTAAGGAACAATAATAACAGCAATAATAATAATCCTTGCATTTGATATAGCGCCTTATCACATCCACACAAGCCATGCACCAAAGGAAAGTGTTACACCTCTGGCTGTATTGCAAGGTTCACCCTGGTACGATGCGAGTCTCTCCTCGTCTAGCCACAGCACCAATTCCCACTTGGTTTTTTGTAGTAGGCGGTTTTGCTCCTGGTTTCTTAATCCGGTTCCTGATTTATTATTAATCTTGCTGGGATTGTGGGAAGAGTGTATGTGTGTGGGGTGGGGGGGGGGGGGGGGGGCGGGGAGATCCCACAAATTTATATGCATGTGGCAAACTTTAAATAAATGTTTAGTCGCAATTTTAGCAACCAGTGTTATTGTCACTGGATGTGGAAAAGTACAGCAAACACCAGGAATGTTCAATAGAAGCACAAAGCGATCCGGGTTCAAATGAAACAAGCATAAAGCAGATTTTACACACACAAACACACACATACACATTTCCACCCAGACTCTGAGCTACATCAAAACTGGTTTGAAAATAACCAGAGAACTGGAGATTGCATGGAGGAGGACAACATGAAAGGGAGAGAGGGAGTGTGATGGGGGTGGTGGGGGGAGGGCGGGGGGGGTGTTGGGGTGGGAAAGAAACAGAGTGATTTAAAAGATGCAAAAGTGGAAGGGAAGCTGCTCGGATTCAAACAAATTGCTAATTTTACACCTTGAATGAGATTGGCATTTAAAACTATTAACGCGCTCGATGGAAACCTGGAACTTGTGAGGATATTCACAGCCACTTCCAGTGTCGTTTTCCACGTCTGGTTCCTGCGGCCACGGTTCAAGCGGAACAGATCCGTGCCAACTCACACCCACATGCCAACCCACACCCCCACCACCCATTTACCTGGCAGAGATCGGGCGATCCAGGTGGGTGAATTTGATGGCTAAGGGGATGCCCCAGTTCTTGTGCTCAGCTTTGTACACCACCCCATAACCCCCAGAAGCGATGGGTCTCTTCTCGTAGATCAAGTGGTCGAAGGGGATGCCAGCGAATTCTGATGCTTGGCTTTCTGTTGACATGTTCTCTCCTTTCTTTCTTTCTCTTTCTCTCTCTCAAAAGTTTTTGGCGAGTCACCAAGTTTCACAAAGCTCCACCCTCCAGCCTTGGCTCGACACTGCCTTTTACTTCCTTGATGTCGCAATTCTTTTACGTGGAAATCTCATTTCATTGGGGGTGGGGTGGGGGGGGAGACAATGCAAGAGGTGAATTTTTGGCTCGGGTCCCTCTCTTTACCCCCATTCCTTTATTCTTTGAAGACTTATTTTTCCTCTAGCACCTCTTAGAAAGCTCTCTCCAACACACACACACACCCAACCCCCACCCGTTCCTCTGCTGCACTGTTGGAATTTGGCTCTTGAGATGAAACTATAAATTGGTCACTTCAATCCACCACCGTGTGTGGGACGCTGCTGTGTGCAATTGACTGCCATGTTTCACTCCCCGAATATGCAGTCAATGCACTTTTGCAGGCGTACTCTGTGAAGCACTTTGAGACGTCTCAAAGATGCGCTATATCAGTGTATCAAATGCAAGGATTATTATAATTTGTTCTTCTCTCCCATCTGCATTTATAGAGTAATAATCATTGCATTTGATATAGCACCTTATGTTATTGAGTTGTCTCAAAGTACTTTACAGGATCTACTGCCAACTGAATTAACTATTTTGTGAGCAAAACACAGTAGCCGTTTGTACACAGCAATGGGCCACAAAAAGCCATGGAGTGAATGACCAATTGTAAGTGGGGGATTCTTGGCCAGGATACTAGGAGAGAGAAACTCCATTTTTTCATATATATTAACAAAAAAAAACTGGCAGGACCACACGTAAGAGCCATGTTCTGTCTCATTGAGTGGCAGCATTTGGAAAAAACCCTCTTCGAAATGTTATTTAAATCTACACAAACCAGCACACCTGCTATTAAAACAGAGACCTTGACAAAGGAATATTTGAAGGAAACATTTGTATAAGTATGGGAAGGAGCAATGGATTAATAGAACCAAGATGCTAAATTGGAGCTACTTTACAATTAAGTTACTGTTGCATTAGGTGAGAACAAATATTGGAAAATTCTCTGAATGAAAATTGATGTATTCTGAAATGCATTTACTTAGATATAAGTTTATGTAACCAAAAATGTACCAAGAGTTACGTAACTGATATGAGCTGTTCTACCACACAGAAAATATGAATAGTGTAGTGCACTCTGAAAAACTATCAAAGCAACTCCATTCACAGTCTAAATTTAAACACTTCCACCCCGAGTTTCCCTCCCTTTCACAGATTATGGCCTCTGTCCCCTCCCTCAAAAATCATGGCAATGGATGATTAGCATTCACTTAAGATATTGATGAATGGAGCCAAAGAAATGTTATGTTGTACTTGCAAATGCAAAGATTTATCAGCTTCAATCATTTATTGAGTTCATTCTTATACAGTTTGGCCATTGTCTGAAGTGTGTAAGAGACTCAGTTCTTCATTAGTTTGACGATGGCAATCGCAAGCAAAAGGAACATCATGACAGTTACCACAGCGATGCCAGGCACAGCAGCAGCCATCAGATCTGTGGCAGAGAGTAGACAAAGCATAGTTAGTGGAGATTGACACAGGAATCTTAATTTCAAAAATGGGAAGATTGAAGCACGGGTGTCAAGTTTAATGCTCATTTTTAAGCTCAGAACAGGGCCCAACATATGTTCAGGGTAGTATGAATACTAGATAGCTCCAGAACCACAGCTTGTTAGAGAATTACAGAAATCATTAGAGGGCCAGTTCACCAATAACAAGGATATGAAACTCAGGCCAATACGTGCATTTGATGTAGCACTTGATCACATCTTTGAGATGTCTCAAAGCTCTTCATGGAATACTGTAAAGAGAGTTGACTGTATATTTTGTGAGCAAAATGCAAAACCCTTTTCTCCAGTGAATGTGAAGCCAAATGCATACAGTTTTGGGGAGGGGAAAAGTCAGTGCACATGCACACTATATTAAAAAAAACTTACCAGGTTTACCAGCTTTGTGCACATGTTCTTCAGAGGGAGACCAGTTAATGGGGCCATATGTCAGCAACACTTGGCCATTTACAGATCTTTTCTGCTTCTTGGATGTTCTATCACTGGGACAATTCTGTAAGAGAATGTATGAATTTTAATGAAGTAGTTAATGAATTACAAGCAATGAGGGTATAAATCAGAACAAGCAAAAGTGCTCAACTCCTTCCAATTCAGGAAAACATCTGTCCACTAGATCTAGTTTAAAATGAAACTTGGGCCTTGAAAACCTGGAATGACTCAGTTCTGCCCCACCATGACCTCAAGATAGTGTTACACCCTTGTGGAATGAATGTTGGCTTGAATAAAGCTTAGCATTTAGATGTTTTGTGTTTACAATACTCCAGATTTTGACCAGTTGTGCCTTGTCAAACAACCAAAAATGACTGTTTCCCAATCAAACACAAGGCAGTTCAATTACATCTGAGTGTTTGATAAGGATTGCTACAAGGCAGAGAGAATAAATCACTAACGTGGAGTCCTGTAGCTCAGTGGTTAGAGCACTCGCTTTGCAAGTGAGAGACCTGAGTTCAATTCCAGGCAGGGCGAAACCTTGGGCAAGTTTCCTTACTCCACACGCCTAATAATAATCCCTCCAAAAAACCCAAAAAAATAATTAAATTGGTCATTTTCAATCTACGACTGTTTGTGGGACATTGCTGTGCGCAATTGGCTGCCGCGTTCGCCCACAAATATACAGTCAATTCACTTTACAGTGTGTTCTGTGAAGCGCTTTGGGACGTCCTCCTGACGTGAAAAGCGCTATACCAAATGCAAGGATTATTATTATTATTATTATTATTAACTTTACAGTCTAGGCTGATTTCCTGAATGCCACTTCATGTGTATTAGTAATCCTCAATAAGATCTTAACATTGAGATATTTACCACCACGCAAATCTCTGGGTTTTCAAGAATACATATTCCAACTTGACAATGCAGGAACACAACTGGATACTTAATGAACCGAAACATTTGCAGACTGAAGTTTGCCACGGTTTCATTTCCAATTTTATTGTGGTATTGCACAGTATCATCAGCAGGGCACCTAGAATTATACAACGTGAAGTTAGACAAGTCAAAACTACACCAACAAGCAATTCAACTGTAATGTTCTTAGGGCCTTGGTTTACAGAGTACAATTGCCCAGTTGCCCATGAAACCCAATTCTGAGAAAAGGCCAAAAGATTACCATGGGTGGAATTAAGTGGCAAATAATTGAATAAAATTAATTTACACCTTCAATTTTCTCCTAGTCAATCATCATTGGTTCCATGCAGAAATTTCAGGTAATGATTGCAGAGGGCATTAGTTCATCCATTTGAAAGTAATCAAATATTGATCATTAGTTTCCCAATATTACTCCAGCACAAGATAGTGCCTTAGGAAAGTTAAATTCTACAGGGACCTGGATGCTATAGTCATTAAGTAGCAAAGGAGAGTTGAACACTTACCTATTCTTTATGATGTCGTGGCGAACCTGGTAACTTGGGTTTTGCCTTGGTGTTGACCAACACTCATTTATGGTCAAAATAAAGTTAAGCCCTTCAGTTTTCAAACTAAAGTACAGCCTATCTGACAATGCCAGGTAAATGAATTCATCATAAAGAGTCTCATAGCTGGAGCTTTTATATAGATTCATGGATACCACAAGTGTTCCTTCCTGCACTTTTACCACTGCAAGACTGAGAATAAAATCAAAGTTATTACAAGGCCATCTCACCGAGTGATCCACCAATCAGTTGTTAATGCACTCTAGTATGTTAGACAATTACCTAGTAACTCATAGCATGAGTAATGACAATTGGGTTGTCCAATTTATTGGGTTTGGCTTGAGCATCAATCCAGAAGTCCCATAGCTCAGTGGTTAGAGCACCACCCCTCAAAGCGAGAGACCTGGGTTTGATTCCCGGCAGGGTGAAATGTTGGGCAAGTTTCCTTACTCCACACACTCCGTTTACCCAGCAGTAAGTAGGAACCCGATTGGCAGATCGCTTTTCCAGGGTAATAATTCCTTTTTTTAAAAAAAACTGGTCACTTCAATGCATGACTGTTTGTGGGACTGCTATATGCAATTGGCTGCTGAATTTCACACAAAATATACAATCAATTCACTTTGCAGTATATTCTGTGAAGCACTTTGAGAAGTCTCAAAGCTGTGATAAGGTGCTATATCAAATGCAAGGATTATTATTTATCCAAGCATTTTAGAGTAAAGTTCAACATCTCACTGATCAGTTTAACATCTATATAGTGCTTCCACATGGCCAACTTCTCAAAGCAATTCACAGGATTTGCTGTAAAGTGTTAAGTAGTCTGTGGTAATATGTTTGAGATTGTAAACAAGTTGGGATATTATTCAGTCATAGCTCCAATTTACAACTTAAAATTATACAGAAAAAGCATTTTCAGATGGAATGGAACAAATCTAGATTGCTTAGAAATTCATCTCTGAAACCAAAAGGAGATTTCAAGCAGCTAACTATGATTAAGTGAATTTTGCAGTTAAGGATGAATAGGTGGCAGTATCCAAAGAACCAATTGCAACAGAACACATTCCACTTACGCAGTCATTGGTTGTAATGGGAATTTAAATTGGGCTACGCTTTGCCGAGGGTAAACACAAACAAAGTCAATTCCCAGGGAAGGAATTCTTGTGATGATTCCATTTTCATCTCCAGTCTGCACTCCATTCCTGAACATGATGTGTGTCCCATTGCTCTATGAAACAAAACAATGTGGATTTGTATTTCTTTAGATGATGAAGTCAGTGTCAGGTAGTTTTAATATTGCTAAAATAGAATCACCTCAAGTGAAAGGGCTAACAGCTTTAAATTCAGTTTTTTTAAAAAAAGGAACATTTGAACTTCTGAAAATTGAAATAGCGCTTTGCTATTTAGTAAAAAAGCAGGTTAATGAAGGAATATTCTAAGTTCTCAACCCAACCTCATCTCAACCACAGAGGGCATAAATATGTCCTCTGTTGTAGAGTAGACATTTGACTAGTTGTGATTTACTGACGTGTAGGAATGTCCTATTCCTACAT